CTATGTAATACTATTCTGAAAATATGGAAAGCTGTGTATTCAAGTGATCGGTGTGTCAAAACATTGTATAGCCGATTGTGGGTCATATTTTCATAATTTCACGCAGAATCAGCGTTGCCGCCTACATCACCGGCATCTGTGTTAGATTAGCCACAACATTACTATTAATATCCGATTTCAGTTAACAAGTGGAACTTATACTGTATCCCAGTAAATGTAATATACTTGCTAATTATACGACTGTATTCTATAGGGTGGTAACTCCAGGGTATTTTTGAAAAGTATGTTATCTCACGAAACTCATACCCACACATGTCCTCTAGTTCCAAGTCGTTGAAACATTGAGAAATATATGTGCACATTTATTTAGAACACGTGACTAATTCTCAAAGATCCGTAGCCTCCATCGATTCTGAGAGCCACTGACTATTTTATACTTCTAAATTGAACTCCAGTTTGCTCTCAAAGGACAGTTGGTCGACATTTATATATTTAAACCCCGATAACAAGAAAACCAGATTTCCATTCCGTTATCAACATTTTATCCGTAAATTGCAGATTACATACTCAAATAATGATTGTAATAATTTTCACCATAAGCTTTCAATTCACACGTTTCCAGAGGACAATTTTTAAAATACCATACCATGAAAACCAGAAGGTTCAAGATTTAAATACAAATGAACAAATTCAGAATCCAGGTTAAGCGAGCACATTCAAAAACCAGTAAAGAGGTGTGATGTTAAAAATTGTAGTTATCGTCATTCAAATACTGAGTAAAATTAGCGTTTATTACTCAGGAAACTGGCCTACAGGATGAGCAAACTTATAATGTTTAGGAGTTATTATCTGTCATCTTGACTTAGTTTTCCGTTTTATTTTAGAGCTTTTCCTCATTTAAACAGTTGGCTGAAACAGTCGAGTTTAAAATGGTATGAAATCTTACTAAATGATATAATTTCAATTTGAGAGATTCATATGAGTACCAAAGTATGGTCATTGTCTTTCGCTAGCGCTATATATTTGAGTCATTTATTACCATCTTGACATTAACCACACAACCTTGGCACATAGTCAGTAGCTGTCAGATGTAGAATGAAGTCACAACTCAAAGGCACGTGGGTTTGTCCATAATTAGTTCGCTGTCGGCTTCCATTACTCAGTAACTGAAGATCTTTATAATAAGTTTGTATGTAAAAATCTTTGAAGATCCCGTCATTTATACGCTTTGTGAAAAATAAGCTCGTTGCCTTCTTTTAGGTGTAAATTCAACATTGATGACACTCTCAATAGTATATTCACAAAATATTTTGATTTGTATAAGATTGACGTTCATTCTACATGCCATGGTTAGTTGTTTGGTCTTTATTCACCATGATGTGGTATCACAGTGACTATCTCAATCTCATTTTGTTCGATCACTTGACTTCTGTGGTTGCTATATTAAGTGGCTGTATTCGTGATTATCACTGTTCTATTGATTAGACTGTCCCTTGACGATAGAAGCCACTTTTCTTACTCGTAAGAAATGACTAGTGCTGCCGAAACGTTCGATCTTGCATAGAGTTCTAGTTGATTTGTTCACTGTGAACAAATATACGTAATATGGTCGCGAAGATCACGTTTTCCTCTGTGAGAAGTGAGCAGTTTTGTATTCCTTTACAATTATTGTCACTGATACCTTATGGTTTGATCGTACCAAGTCCTCGAAGTGCAGAAAGTCGATTTTTGTTGGGCAGGAGAATTGTTTTTCAGCTCCTAATTACACTGATTTTGTTGAACGAAAATTAGACTATAGCCATAGCGAAACTATTCAGACATTCGCGCAACTTGTTCTATTCTGTATGAATGTTCATATCTTTATATTAATACATTTGTGATCAAATCCCTGTCTTTCTATTTATTGGTGTTTTTGTGGTCACGAGTAGGGTACTAAAGTGATAGAGTACAGTCGCTTCAAGCATAAAACTGGTGTATTCGTAGAACTATAGTCTACTTCGTTATATGTACCACTCTAATAATATACCTCATCCTAAAAGTGTAGATTTGTCGCAATGTGACTACCTAATTTATGCGATCTTACGTGGGAGTCCTAATATCGTCTGCAGTGAGTCGTCTTATTGTAAGAATCAGCAATATAATGTCTGGAGCTTCTGAAGAACACATTTAGGATAAAGATAGAATAATATATTTAATGTGAATAAAGGTAAGTTATACAAAATGACCACGTCTGCGAAACTGAACCATATAATCGATTAATTAGATATTCCCGCGTTCCCCATTACCGATTTTCTCTCAGTGTTAAATGCTGAATCTCTATTTTCCCAGTTATCGCGTGCTCAACTTTGAGGATTGTGTGATTGGGACCAATGCCACTACAAGTTCATAGTTAACAGATCGAAGAACAGGAATGCAGAAATATTTTCTGTCAAAAGCTTTTCAGTCTTTCTCCCCTAAAAAGAGGTGGGAGATTATAGTCCAGCCAAGCTGTGTTCATGTGAATTTATGTTGTTTATGTAAGTATCCCACTCTCTTAGTGTAACGTTAGTTTCCTTGTCAGTAGTACACAGTTCGTTTTGTGCTAGCAGCTGCAGTGGAGAGAAAATCCTCTTTGCTACACTCAACCAGTGATCAATACTAGTGGCTGATAATTAGCAGTAATACCAGTGATAAACTATTCAAAGGGTAGGACATGTAGAATTATTGTCCAGTTCAGTATTAGTATCTTTACCTTTATAAGTTTGTCACGGCGTGACTATCCAGTCTATAAGATATTACGTAGAAGCCACGCCTTAGCTTACACTGACTCGCCCTGTCGTGATAATCAGCAATATGACTTCTAGCACTTTTGGCGAACACATTTGGTAAAGTATGAGTTACACAAATGACCAAACTCAAATTGTCGTTAAAAATGTAAAACAATAATTTGATATTGAATAAAAGTAAAAAATAATACACAGAACTAAAAGACATGGGAATAGTAACTTAGCGTTAAGGATGAAACAAAAGCTTGTGGTCTCCCGGAAATCATAAGCAGAAGGATCTTCTCACGCACATAAATAAAGGATCTTGGAGTCATTCATTATTTCCTTGGTGATAATGTATGTCTGACAATATTATGTTCATGTAATGAGTTCGAAGTATCATGTGCTTACGAAGTTCAAACAAACTTTTATACCTCCACGAATGTCCTGGTTCACTCTTTTAAAGTGAGAAATATTCAGAACATTTTTCAAGTACTATATTCAATCATTTTTACTAATAGTTTGGTACACTTCAATGATCACAAGAAGTTCTGTACCATACACCTCGTCTAAAATTTCTGTGAAGCTATAGATAAGCAAAGGAACTAAATGCACTTTAACCAAGCGTTTAAACCTCTCTCTGAAAAATACATCACCTTGCTCATTACTGACAAATCTGAAATTTCTTAGGCGATGAATATTTTTCTCATTTATTATGAAAAAGCTGTGGGGATACTTAATGTAGAATTATTTTGTAGTTAGTTTTTGTTATCATTTGTGTTTTTTCGATAATTGCCATAATTTGTGCGGTTGCCATGTCAAGTATACATCGGTTATTCTAGCTTCTGGACGGACCAATCTATTCATCCTTCTTGAGTCACATTTGGGCCTTGTCACATATTAGCTTGCCCCCAAATGCCCTGGTACGGCCGAGAGTGGGGCAGTCTGCTCTCCCTCTCGAAATGCTCTCATATGGCCACGCGAATATATAGCCTCTGCCAGGGAAGTCCTACTCACTGGCTTCTCGCACCACGGGTGTTGTTTACCAAATTGAGATGACGAAAAGCGAATGTCCGGCGCTTTAACCGGGTTGGTGGATGTGGAGGATCCACCTAGGGGAGTTGGCAAACCCTGATTCCAAACCAATGGTGCACATGGGCTGGCTCCAGTATCCTGAAGGAACAAATGGCGTACGAATCAATCGTTGGTCACCGGCTACCATGGGACTACATCTCCTTACGATGATCCACTGCCTTGTGGATCAGACATTTAGGTTAAAGGCTCTGGGTGTGGCCCCCTAAGAAAACCACCTGTTTCAGTCTGGGCACCTGAGCAGTATCACAGCCCTCACACAAATCAAATGAGATTTGTGCGGCGCATATTTATCTGGTGCTTCCTTGTATCAATATTTATGTGTTTAAATAAATAATAATAATAACATATTCGCTTATTAGACTTGATCGTGTTTATATGAGTGCATGTGTGTTACTTACGTACCCTATCCATTTTGTGTCCAAGACCTATTTTTGCTTGACTATAAATATCGAGTCATGCTTGATTAAACCGAGTTGGCTAACTCGCCTTCTACGCTGCGCGTCACTTCGTTTTCTCGGATCGAGATTCACTTCTGTATTGGGCTAATTTCATCCCATTATCCTCTAATGTTAATTAGGTCAACAGTTATAAAAGAGTATTAGCCGCATGTATATTTCTACAAAAAACATCATACGATCTAACTGGAGTCAGATATAGGACCGTTGGAAACTTGTCACTAGGGGTTCATTTGACTTATACCTCAGTCCCTCTAGAATAAATATAAATAAGAGTTTCAAAATAAATAAAAATAACCTTTTTAAGTAGGTTGTTACGATGCACATGATATAGACCAAGCATACCATTCAGGTCAAATGTATGTACAATTCATACAAACATGGAAAACAACTTTCGATCTTCGACTTGTTAGAAAGGCTTTGGGATACTACCAGAGGAGGTATCAGCACTATTGGCAAGAAACGGCATACACTCTTTGGCTTTCTGCCCGCATTTCTGTATGGTGAAATTAATATTCTGACAAATATTGTTTCACCAGAATTTTTAAAAACCGCCATTATTTTGACACAAAAGTAACGGCTATGAACCAGATTGAAGTATTATTATGAACCTAATTATTCACCGACATTAAAAATGTTTCAGCATCTGATCCTCACGACTCCAAATCGTCCCAGTCAGCTGTTAGTTGTTTGTTTATCTGTTTTCGAAAATTCTGCGCTCGGAATCTTCAGATGGCTGTGGATGTTGTGTATGCGATTGTCTAGTTACTGTTTTGTTCCTATGGATATGTAAGTCAAAGACTTTGTGGTTTTAAAATGGTGGCGCTTTTAGTTCTGATTTTCCATAGTTTACATTCTAGCTCATTATTACCACTTGACTTTTCCAGGTACGCTCGTTTAGAAAGTGGATTTATATTTTTAAAAACTTGAGTTTTTCTACTTTTCATTTGTCCTATCACCAAGTTATTTTTAAAAATATTTGGTAAATGGGAGCAAACAGTTTTCCATTTTCGTATGTTCCCCATTAGTATTACGATTTCACGCTTATGCATATACTATATATATGTGATGTCACAAATACTCAACATGTTAAGTCCTTTTTTGATATCGTTGATTTATCTTAGCTCCTCCAACATCTTGAATTTGTGAAAAATTAGGGCCGAAAATCACTACTTGAATAATTTATGTACTCTAGGTGGAAACAAACTGTCCACGAAGTTGTTTTCGAAGGCTAACTGTTAACATCTATGCAGAAGAAATAATAATATAGATATCCGTCTTTAGGGACCTCTGCTCATGTGCAGTTATTTAGGTGTATGTGAAAAATATTGGGTTTTCGAGATTCTATTGCCGAGATCTCTTGAGACCTAAAACTGCAAATTTCTGCTTTTAGGTCGGTTGTCATCATCATCATAGTACAATGTTCATATAGGTCATAACTTAGCGTAGTACTTCACCTTCAAACTCCCAATAGTCTCGACTGCAGCTTTAATAATTATTATAATAATTAAAGTATTATAATAATTATAATTAGGGAAACTAAATGGATAAAAATGACGGAAAGAATAGTTTGTACTAGGAGAGACATTTCATTTTAAAAAGTATGGCCGGAAACAATTCATTCACTTGGGGTTCCTCTGACTCGTGAAGAATTTAAAAGTTAGCTTCGACAGGACTTCCATTGGCTTCTCTTCGGAGTCATGTCTTATGACTTCTCATGCACTGAGTTGCAGCGTATCTAGGACTTCAACCAGGGAGTCATGGTGTATCGGCAAATACTTGTCTTATTTAGGTTTTATTTATATCGTGAAGCCATACTATACACTGTCTGCCTTCTCGCTTTTCCTACTGTTCTACATCGGTAAGTAGTGCATGATTTTAAAAAATCTCTGAAATGGCTCGTGAAACAATTCTAAACCTTTGAAGTCGTTGTTTGATAAATTCCTGGACCATACCAATGTTTCTCATCAACTCTGTGGATGAAAGTACTGTTACTACGTTTACTAACCTGGGATTTGCTAATGGGGTATGGAAACTTGAACCTGTGTATATGTACCAGGTTTTGTGTTGTGTTTGACTGACTAACTACTGTCTTCTTACCTTCGCCGTTAACTAGAGTAAAAATATCATTTTATTAACTGAAGCTTTTTGATGATGGCTAGTATATTAGTGAAAAATACATTTGGGCCACTTGATTATATGCTAATTATAGTGATTGGAGTTTACTAAATGAGTATTTTTCATCAAATAAAAATCATAGTAAAAGTGCATTAAAAGTCCTTAAGCAGATTTTACACTGATTTAATGTGACGGAAATTCATCTTAATCGGTATTAATTTCCTTTCTCATAAGTTGTATTTGAAGAGCAAACCCACAAGATGGCAACACTAATCGTATTATCATCACTGTCCGAACACATTACTGAACCTCTGAATTGCTAACAATGTTGTCAACAGTCCTTCAAAGACAACGAAAATCAAACGCGGTCACCTAACATCCCCAGCTTGTAGAGTCCAGGTTTCGCAAACACAGCAATACTCTTCTTGCCAACACGTCGTGAACGCAACCTTCTGTAGCCAGACTAACATCACGAGTACCGAAGATAGTTTAGATTGGCATAAGTCGCTTCAGCTTTCACCATACGTAGACACTACCAGCAGCACTCACACAGCTACCCAGATACGCGGACCTTTCGATTATTTCTCACAACTCACAAAGAATAAGTGCCGGTACAAACTCTTGCCAGTCCTGTGAAGCTATTTTGCATTTAGAAGGCCCAGAGTAAATTCCGTATTTAGGATACTGATTAAGTGTCAGTTGCATGGCTGAAATATCACCTCACTGCAAGACAATGTCCCTCGCTACTCAAGATCGAAATGTTTCTCCACTTAACATCGCTACATACTCTTATCAAATTTTCCTCCAGAATGTTTTCGACCACAATAACCTGGAAAATCTCATGACCTAGTACCTTGGTCAGTTTATACAGGTTCCAAACTGCATGCGACATCGTTTCTTGTCACACCCTAACTGTGGCAAAGTTCCACTTCTTGAGCCGTCCAGTGACTATAACACAGTGTTAGTCTGAATCTGATTAAATATTACCTAGAATTTTAAAAAGTTCAGTATATAGTTGACCGTAAAAAGCCCCTGACTAGTTGATATTGAATAGCTTCAAAATACCTAGAAGTTACAATCTGGAAAAGTGTTAACTGAGAAATTACATTTATTAATAGTAGGAAAAACAGTGTAATGAAAAGACCATATTGTACATAGAGTTCTGAAGTTCATACCATTCTTCTGATGACCGCCCTCACTTTTCGGTGATATGTTCTTTGGTTTACCTCATTTCCTTTTGTCCTGGTTACAAGTCAGAGCTTGCTTTGTGATCCACGTTGATTTCCGTAGTGTGGCCTACTTAGCAGTCTAATCGGCTTGATTGGTTTTCTGTGGTTAGCTTTTTTGCATCAACGTTCTTTTTACGATATGAGGTTTCTAACCCTACTTCCAACCTCCTTTATCCTAACATGGGACTATCAGTAACCCTGAAGGGGCTTCTGGCGAAGTTAGATTAGTATTATCATAATTTAGGATTTCACAGTATTACTCGGTAGATCTAGTTTAATACGGTGAAATTTTCTGCCAAATGGCTTCTAAGAAGTGTTTCCTTCAAGAGAAATTCGATTATGGTATTTGTGAACTCCATTTTTTGCATACTTGCCCAGAATCTTGTGGTTACTCTTCGAAATTCTCAGAGTAGTTCACCCTAATGTTAAAAACGACGTTAACTAAGTTCATACTTCGCAAAGTTATGGGACCTAATCCAATGAACCAAGTCGTATTAGTATTATCAGTTTTTGAATATAGTCATCGATTCGGGATGTAATTTGTCACCCCCTTACTGAAGTAACATTTCTAATCAGGCTTAAACCCTACCCTACCTACTGCAGTATGGGAAGCCGGGTGGTATCACGAGCCTTATAAAGTATGACTTAAAGCCGCTTATACAAATCTGTTCATGATACATAAATGATATTAGTTACTTTGCCATTGATTAATGTACATTGGTGTTTTCAAGCGCAAGTGGGATAAAGTTCGGTCTTGGTTCTCTCCAAATATCAAGATCCTTTCTGAGTAATAAGTAATTCGTCTGATGAAATACTACTGAATCTAATGCCTATATATTCGTAATCTAGTAAATATGTTCTGGATTAATTCCACTAGCATTCAGTACTTCAGGTGGGCGAAAATAAAATCACTGCTATTAATCCACTCATTTTATTCCCTATAATCACCCAGCAATATTGAAAACCCAGATAAAGTAGTACGAACTCCATATTTTACCGAAAATATAATATTAAATAAAGCCATTAATAATAATTTACCTAAACCAAGATATATTAAGTACTGAACGAATAAGATTGGTTTTTTAAGGATCCATTTATCCTATTGGTATCCAGTTTTATTTATCTAGGATTAGCCTTTGGCTACAGATATCTCACACTTTGGGAGTCATCGAAATTGTCGTACGATTCCCCATACGTGATGCTAATGGTGATAACTCAGTTGTATTCAGTTTTCTTTAATTTGAAGGTTTATAATGCTGTAGATCTTTCCGAACTTTGGTAGTTGAACTACTACCCATATCCATTACCCTGTCTGAACCTATAAACTACAACTGAAATTAATTGCTGCATACCTCAATAGCTTAATTTTGTTTGTTAGAATGGCAGTTTTTACTATTTCTTCATCTGGGAAGGGATATTATAGATGTTTGTTAAGGATGAGATTTTCTTCACCGTAATGGATATTTTTATTTTTATAAACCCTGTCCTACTTATATAGACTAACGAAGTAATTTCGTTTTATTTTCCACTTTAAGGTACCTTTGCTATGCCTCTTCATGTAGATCCACGTAAACACGAACTTCTGGAAGCTAGAATACAGGGAACTAACCATATAAGGTCAACCAATAATGCGCCTCCCTCCACAAAGTCTGATTCGTATACTTCTGGATATATGTTTCCAATAACAGAAGAACCTTCCCGCACTCCAGAACACTCAGTTTTACGTGGTTCTTCCAGTCCATTTAGTTCAGTCGGTGAACATGACCTAAGTACTAGTAGCAGTGAGATTAAACCAGTTTCCACAGTAGTTCCTTCGATATCAGTTGAAATAAATGAAAGAATTCCAAGTGCAGCAGATCCAGGCAAAAAGTTGCATAACCCGAACTGCCATAACATTAATCGACTGGAGGTCACTAGTCCGAGTCTTAATGTTCAAAATTCTCAGATCCACGTTCAGACGCAAGAAGATTATGTGACTTCACCTACGACTCCAAAAAAAAGAAGAATCCCTTCAAGTTCTGCAGGAGAGTCTGACAACACATCAAATGACGGTCTTCTCACCTCCCTTGTTAAATCGGACGACAGGTTTATAGAAGCCTCGGCTCCTGGTATCCCAGCAAATCCTATTGGTTCACCCCAAGGCCTGCAGTATGTTTCAAGGTCGAACTCTATACACACCCCAACCACTGTTGCGGACAACAGTCCTGTAAAACAGCCATATACTTTTGTAGAGGAAAAAAATGTTCCATATCCCACATTCCAAATTTCCGTCCAACCATCTGCAGCATTTATCGAAACAAACAATCCTACATACCACCTATCTCCTTCGATAGGACCACTTACTCCAACTCCTGGTGGACAAGGTGACTCGTTGCCATCCCGAAATGGGACAAAAAAACGGCGAAAATTAGTGAGTTCTGATGAAGGTCATACACCGAAACCTAAAAAAATAGTTTGCCAGGAACGTGGTTCAAAGCGTATCGATGAGATCTTTAAGGTGAGTTGTGCATTTCCCCCCTCCTTAAATATGCCATTCACTCTCTAGACTGTCATCTAATCAGCTTTGTAATAATTAGGACATTAGAAGAACCTTAAACATCGTAGATTAAGGAACTTGCAGGCGAATTAACATCAACATTTACTAGGTAATTTTATAGGTTTATTGGAAGTCCTGGATCGAATTTGTTTTAATCAATGAGTAGATAACATATGTCAAAGTTCTTGACCCCTTCATAATATGTACATCGTATCTGTCGCTCCGTTCATTGGTTTTGTTGTTGTGGACTGTTGTTTTAGTCTAAAGATTATATGCTATAAACGTCCCACTAGAATCCATTTTTCTTAAATATATATGTCTCGAGAATTCCAAAGTTTAATCATAGCTTATCTTCACTCATCTTTTCTTATTCAGTTCATGCCTGGACCATTATATTCATCCTGTGGTTCAACCAGTCCGACACAAAATCCTCGTTTACAGAGTCCTGTAAGTCTACATCTTATATTCACTGTGTCGAGATTTCTACACAATGTGTAGCAGTATTGGATCAGCTAGGTTTTGGAATTATCTGTTTCACATTTTACCAGCAATGCTAAAATGAACAATTTTCATCTAGATTTATCACATAAATACTTTTCTTGGATTGTTTCTACTAAAGATTCTCGAATCATCTGATATAGTTTCAGAATAAGTGATATAGCAACCCAAATGTTCGTGTTTCCGATATTATTACACCTCAACAAGTCTCGCTAACCAAATATTTTTATAATCCCTGGGTTTGATAGCCAAAATAATACATGTATGTTTACTCTGGAACACAAGGTATATTAATCCTTAGATGTAATTCAATAAATATTCGTGTACTAGGCTTTGAGTTAAACTTTATGTAAGGACTAGTGAATACGTACTCAGCTATACAAACGGAAGCAAGAAAATAAATGTTTAGCTTTCGCTAACAAACTTACTGTCCATAAACAAAACAAACAGCGCTTTTCTTCTTACTACGTTTAGACAGGCCAAGTTCCGGGAACCTCTGCAAATTTTGAAATCAACTTCGTTAACCATTTATGTGACAATTTGTCAAATAATCAATTCAGTGCTTCCAGGTTTCCGATAATTGTCAAACTTAAATCGGTTCGTGATCTCAATAAAACTCAATTATCTCCGCAACCCCCATCAAATCCACTGACAGTAGAAAATACGTTGTGATTAATCAATGAGACGATCGCAAGTTCAACTCTACCTACCTTGGTGTAGTAGGCCCAGTTTATTTTATTTATTGATTTAAACACATAAATATTGGTACAAGGAATCACCAGATACATATGCGCCGCACAAATCTCATTTGATTTGTGTGAGGGCTGTGATACTGCCCAGATGCCCAAACTGAAACAGGTGGTTTTCTTAGGGGGCCACACCCAGAGCCTTTAACCTAAATGTCTGATCCACAAGGCAGTGGATCATCGTAAGGAGATGCAGTCCCATGGTAGTAGGTGACCAACGATTGATTCATAAGCCATTTGTTCCTTCAGGATACTGGAGCCAGCCCATGTGCACCATTGGTTTGGAATCATGGTTTCCCAACTACCCTAGTTGGACTCTCCGTGTCCACCAACCCGGTTAAAACACCGGACATTCGCTTTTCGTCCTCTCAATCTGATAAACAACACCCGTGGTGCGAGAAAGCAGTGAGTAGGACTTCTCTGGCAGAGGCTATATACACGTGGCCATGTGAGAGCATTTGGAGAGGGAGAGTCCTACTCACTGGCTTCTCGCACCACGGGTGTTGTTTACCAAATTGAGATGACGAAAAGCGAATGTCCGGCGCTTTAACCGGGTTGGTGGATGTGGAGGATCCACCTAGGGGAGTTGGCAAACCCTGATTCCAAACCAATGGTGCACATGGGCTGGCTCCAGTATCCTGAAGGAACAAATGGCGTACGAATCAATCGTTGGTCACCGGCTACCATGGGACTGCATCTCCTTACGATGATCCACTGCCTTGTGGATCAGACATTTAGGTTAAAGGCTCTGGGTGTGGCCCCCTAAGAAAACCACCTGTTTCAGTTTGGGCATCTGGGCAGTATCACAGCCCTCACACAAATCAAATGAGATTTGTGCGGCGCATATTTATCTGGTGCTTCCTTGTACCAATATTTATGTGTTTAAATAAATAAATAAAATAAATAGGGCATTTGGGGGCCCAGTGGGATTGCTAGTTTTCATGCACTACAGTGGTTTCGACGCTTAAACTAATAACGCGGTTGGTAGATTGCTGCTACCTTGACGTGGTGGTTGGGCTTACCTATCGTGATGATTCAATCGAGCTATACTGGCTGGAACAATCGTTTCTCAAGGTCCTACCATGCCAGGCAGGTCGTTTGAAGAGCGGTGAGACTAAAAGCAGCAAACCCAAGGTCCGAAGGCGAAGTCGTATTGTACAGGGGTGTGACGGCAGTAAGGTGTTTCCTTCAGACAACCAACATAACAGCGATGCTGCCTTCCCACAAGGAGGGGTGAGGTTAGAAAAGGTCGACTCTAAAAATGCACACCTCGCCTTATCCCACGGATATCCGTCTCCGGCGATAAGGTCTTTTGAAGAACGGAGCTAACACAAAAAGTTCGTGTGTGATCGACCTCAAACAGTTGTCCTTTGGGCACTGCGGTCACGCTCTCAGGTCACTGAGATCATTTCTAACACAATTTCCTTTTCAGGTACCTCCATTAGAACCCTTCCACAGTGGGGCAACCGGGAAGTGATAACTACCCTCATACCTCTAATAGCACTCCAGATCACTGCATTCATAATCAATCTCCTTCAATTTCTTTTACTCCTCCCACCTCGAGTTTCAACACTAAACTTCCTCTTCCGGTTTCTTCCTCAAGTGTCACCATGGCCAACGATTCTAGTACGCGAAACACTGTCCCAGGTCTACTAAAACCTCGCTCCAGACTACACATTGGAGCCTTCAACGTACGTACCTTATGTCAAATCGGCCAACAGGCCTCCTTGGATAAGACCCTAGAATCTCGTACGATTGATGTATGCTGTGTCTCCGGAACGCTCATACAGGATCCTAGTATGGTCATTCACTTGACCTCATTTCGCCAATATGGACAGCCAACAAAATACACCCTCCGTGTATCTGGCGTCCCGTTGGCTAGTTCTCGTGGACTTGCAGGTGTAGGTATAGTACTAAGTACAAGGGCAGAGCAGGCACTATTAGAATGGATCCCCGTTAACAGTCGCCTGTGTGCTGTCCGGCTGAATGGCTCCGTAAGAACTCGGAAGGATAGGGACACACGTCGTTGCCTTTTCGTCGTTTCTGCCTACGCTCCCACCGACTGCAGCCATGATGAAATGAAAGATGACTTTTACAGAAAGCTCTCTGAGCTTCTTCAGAAAGCTAAGCGCTCAGACATAGTAGTCGTAGCGGGTGACTTTAATGCCCAGGTAGGCAGCTTGAATCAAACGGAAACACATTTAGGTGGGTGTTTTAGTATTCCGGCTCAACGAACCGATAATGGTGATCGTCTGTTGCAACTATGCTCAGACAATCGTTTATTTTTAGCAAGCACTAATTTTAAACATAAGGAGAGACATCGTCTAACATGGCGACCACCTGCACCAAACCAACGATGGACTCAAATAGACCATATTGTCATCAGTCATCGTTGGAGAGGCTCAATAGAAGATTGTCGCTCGTATTGGAATACTTGTTTAGACTCTGATCACGCTTTAATACGAGCGCGCATTTGTCTGCGCCTCAATGGACGCAGGAGAAGTACACTAAGAAGACCCATTAGGATTGAACTGGAAAACGAGAAAGCCAAATGCGAATTCCAGAAACAACTGAGTTCACATCTAGGCAGTTCTGTAAACAAGACTGACACAGATGCTGCTTGGAAAGACATACGAACAGCTGTGGAAACAGCAGTTACATCTATTAGCCATTTAAACCATAGGGCTCCAAAAAACCAATGGATTTCTTCTAAGTCTATTTCACTGATGGATTCGCGTAAACTCATCCCATCAGGCTCTGAACATGACGAAGAGCGTAAAGAAATTAGATCTAGGTTAACTAAAAGTTTAAGGAACGATCGTGAGCAGTGGTGGGCAACGAAAGCAAAAGAGATGGAAAAGGCAGCGGCTGTAGGCAACACCAGGCAACTCTTCAGACTAATAAAAGAAACCGGAATTAAGAAATCAATTGTAAGGGAGACAATCTTGGAAGAAGATGAGACTTTCATCTGCTACCAGCCCAGATGCTTAGAACGATGGGCGGAACACTTTAGTGAACAGTTTAGCTGGCCTTCAGCAACTCTACAGTTACCCACCATTCTCAAACAGTGTGAATGGAACATTGAAGTAGGCCCCCCGACCCTACTTGAAGTTCAAAAGGCTATAACTAATCTGAAACGAGGAAGAGCAGCTGGTCCAGATGGATTGGCTCCAGAAGTCTTTAAATATGGTGGTCCGATTTTAGCGATTAGGTTGACTAATATTCTGGCTAAAATCTGGGAGACGGATGTAATCCCATCCGACTGGTCACAATCACTGATTGTCCCAATATATAAAAAGGGGTCAAAATCATCCTTTGATAACCATAGAGGGATTAGTCTGACCAACATAGCATCTAAAATACTAGCCTCAATAATTATCGGGCGCCTAACTAAGACTCGTGAACTGCAAACACGAGAAAATCAGGTTGGCTTCAGACCTCGTCGTGGCTGTATCGACCACATATTCACCATTCGTCAAGTTTTAGAGCACAGACACGCTTATCGGCGTCCGACAATGATAGTTTTTCTTGACTTGAAAGCAGCATTTGACTCTGTAGACCGAGAGGTTCTGTGGCAGTGTCCGTCATTGAAAGGTGTACCTCAGAAGTACATAAACCTTGTGAAGGCTCTTTACTCGAACACTACCAGTTGAGTGAGAGCTTATGGCGAACTGTCATATGATTTTACAACCTCAAGTGGTGTCCGACTAGGCTGTCCACTATCCGCATTTTTGTTTAACTTCATTATAGACCTGTTGCTGGGAATAACACTCTCGTCGACTAAATTTTCAGGAATTGATTTCCTACTAGGAGATCCACTTATCGACTTAGAGTACGCAGATGACATAGCCCTATTTGGTGAAGACGCTGATAAAATGCAGTCTTTTGGTAGCACTGAGTAACAATGCAAGGATATTTGGAATGCGTTTCTCCCCCTCTAAATGTAAATTGTTACTCCAGGACTGGCCTGTGTCAACACCTGAACTAAAGATGGGGAGTGAAGTTGTCGAACGCGTCGACAACTTCACTTATCTTGGAAGTCTGATCAGCCCTAATGGGTTGGTGTCCGACGAAATCTCAGCACGGATTCGAAAAGCTCGTTTGGCTTTTGCCAACTTACGTCACCTATGGCGAAGACGAGATATCCGTCTATCAATTAAGGGACGAGTATACTGCGCAGCAGTTCGCTCTGTTCTAGTTTACGGCTGCGAAACATGGCCATTAAGAGTAGAAGATACTCGTAGGTTACTAGTATTTGACCACAGATGCCTTAGAAATATTGCACGCATCTGCTGGGATCACCGGGTGAGTAATAGTGAGGTTAGACGCAGGGTATTAGGGAAGGATGGTAAATCAGTTGATGAGGTCATGAATCTTCATCGACTGAGATGGTTGGGCCATGTGTTACGTATGCCTGAACACCGATTAACACAAGAGTTAATGGCGACCAAACCAAAACGTGGCATCAGAGCTTGTAGTCACTAACTTCTTGTCTGAACCATGTTGGTAGATGCAGACTACTTGGTTGGGATCCGCATGATTATCGTAACCAATGGTTGGAGACTCTGTGTGACATGACTCGGAATTGATCACAATGACGTAGGTGTATACACTCTTTATTTTCCCTTAAACTGTGAGATTAAAATTGCTTCATATCTGTCTTTCCTCCTGTACTATATCCTCATATACAACCTTTCTTTTATATATTACCACCACTACTTCTATGAATTTGGTGTTCATCTTGTTGTGCTAATGAGGTATGGCAACATGGACTGATGCATATGTGTGCCTGGTCCTACGTTGTAGCTGACTGACTGAGATTGCAGATAATACATGAAATAATATCGCTATACATTTCAAGGATAACTGTCGTGTAGAAACGATGACTATTGAGATTTTCACATAATTAACAGGTATCCAGCACACATTCATGTACGAGAATTTCGTGACTAGCACCATATGGGAGACTAATACCGTTAACAATAATCTTATTTAGGGCTATTTTGTACTAGAAGCTATGTGGGAATTTTTTAGTGAGTAGGAATTAGAACGAGTAGAAGTAAGGGTTTATTCTTACAGCTTTTGTTTTAATTATGCACCGTTCCTTCTTTTTTAGTCCCCTACAGGTGCCCATTCTCTTGATAATCAAATGGTTGGAGTAAACCATAATTACATCCCGTCGTTGAATGAAGCTGTGACTACAAGCTGCGCAAGCAACGATCAAATGATTATTACGTCAGTAACAGGAGTTCAGTATGCAAATAATGCAGCTGCTTTCCAGTTGTCACCTGTCCGTGCCAGCAGTACAGCAAGTTTAAGTGATAGCTCTGGTGATAATCCTGTATCGATGGTTGGGTTAAGTATGGTTGCGAATGTAAACGCGAATCCAACTTCTTGTACAATACCCTGCAATGCTACTCCATTGCCTACTTATTCTAACCTTCAGCTACCTGCTAATCCTAATTCATCATATCCTCAAGTTGGACAACCTAGTGTTGGCTATCTAAGCTCTGGATCCTGTCCAAATAATCCCATGACTTCAAATGTTCCAGCCGTTTCTGGGTCATCCACAAACAACTTCAGATCTCATGTCGGGGTGCAAACAGATGAAACTGTCACTCCATCGTCAACTGCCGAATGTGTGGAAAGTTCACAATGCACAAACATCACAACTTTGCATAATAATCCTACCTTAGTTACAACTGGTGGACCTGCTTCATCTGTTCCACTAACTGCAGTTGAGAGTCTTCAGCGTCGAATAGCTGATTTGGAACACGAAACTGTTGTTCAACGAGAGACCATCACAAAATTACAAGATAATGCCATTCGTTCCCGCGAAATGATACGTGAATTGCTGATTGAAAAAGTAAGTTATTTAATTATTTTCTCTATAACTGCTCTGTCTGACTGCAATGCACATAACAATATTTGATTATTAAACTGCTCAATATTACATCGAATAATGCTACCGTTAGTTATTTATTTACTAATGTATTTTCTTTATTCTAATGTATTTCTGATTGTATAACGTGCTTTCAGAGTTTACTCGAAAGAAAGACTACACGTCAAAAAGTCATGGAAAACCGTTTACGTTTAGGTCAATTTATCACCCAAAGACAGGGTGCTCATTTTGAAGAGAAATGGATCGAAGGTTCGAGATTTAAGGAATTAGATCAGTAAGTTCCCTCAATTTACTATCATAAAATTCAGAAACTAGTTGTCAATACTTACGTTTGCCTAGTTCCCTTTTTTTAGCTGTTTCTCGTTATCATAATTGATTGCAACGAAATTTTTCAATGTCTGACTAATATTTTGTTAATAACACAAAATCTTTGGAAAGTGAAGAATAAGTACGGATTATAGGCAAGTTAAGTATTTTTTGCTTTAACTTCTATGGGGTAGAGAAACCCATCTGTCCCTACTTTGAATTAGGCAGACATGTTAACATCAGTTGTCTCCATGCATAAATAGTGTGACTCAAATTTGAGTACATAAAATTTTACTATATAAATAAGTTGCCTCGTTTATTTATTTTGTTCTTGTTTTAAGACCAAACTTTGACCATGCAATCTGTTTGATAGGTATCATTTTGAGAATACTTATTGTAAAATTGGTATAGTTTGTGACGCTTATAATAATAACAATGACAACATTTTATTTATATATTTATTTGAACACAAACATTGGTACATGAGGGCACCAAATACATATGCACCACAAAATGACAATGAGGCCAGTATCAGTTATCATTGATTTAGGTGAGGGCTGTGATACTACCCGGGTCCCCAAACCAAAGCAGGTGATTTTCTTAAGTGACCACTCCCGGGGCCTTTGACTTGAAAGTCTAATCCACAAGGCAATGGAGCAACGTAAGGTGATGCAGTCCTATGGTAGCCGGTGACGAACAATAGTTTCATGCGCCGTTTGCTCCTTCAGGATCCTGGAACCCATGTGCTCCATTGGTTTGGAATCATGGTTTCCCAACTACCCTAGTTGGACTCTCCGTGTCCACCAACCTGGTTAAAGCTCCGGACATTCGCTTTTCGTCCTCTCAATTTGATAAACAACACCCGTGGTGCGAGAAAGCAGTGAGTAGGACTTCTCTGGCAGAGGCTATATACACGTGGCCATGTGAGAGCATTTGGGGGCTCACACAACAATAATTTCATTCTGTTAATTTCAGACTTATTTTTTCCTGCTTATTTCTTAAGACGCCGTAAGAATATTGAACTTGTTCGCGAAGAGATTGAACGTAAAAAGAAACAATGGAACAAGCGTAAACCAAATGTTGGTGATGCTAAGAAAAGTACTAAATCTAAATACGATGAGTAAGTTAAAGTTTATTTTTTTCGTGTGTAAAGTTTGTGTGTACTAATTATACTGTCCTAACCAACGTAATTGAAAATGTCGATGGTTAAATCATGGTAAAATCATCTATACCTACCCCAAGCAAAGACGTCTTAAATGATGGAAATGGACTCCTGGTGATTGTGACCCTTGATATTTCAGTGATAAGTTAGATAATGCTACATAAAATTATTGACTTTCAAGGTGGACCGTAATAATATCACCAGATCTTAAGCACTAGATCTCAAAAATATTTTTAAATAGTAGGAAAAGTCAGTGAGACAATATGATCTATACGTTTCGCAAAAGCTTAAAGGGAAAAATGCATCAAAATAATGTAATCAATTATGGGCGAATAATCTTACTTTGTTTCTCCAATCACCGATTTCTATTGTCCAACTAACACTGTTCAGAAAGCTCATAATCCATAGTTTATTTTCAAACTATCAATCGAAAATCTTCAGAAATTGTTCTCCCGTTGCCATGTTTGAAAAGATTACGAGTCCATCTAATCTGCGAACGGAACGAAGACTCCCCGCTAACTAGGGAGAGAAGTTCGGGTTCAGAGAGGTAAATGTATTCCACAAGCAGCCAGAAGCACGAACAACCACCACAAGAACAATCCAAGCGTATATATATATATAGCACTAAAATGTTTTTGGGAAACGTTACAAAATAGCATATTAAAAAACAACAACAGACCAATAACATTTAAGGTCCTCCCAAATGGGAAATACGACATGAAGGTGAAAATGGGAGTTTTAGGTGCGAAAATAAGAGTTTCTAATTTCCGAAATCAAATAGGATCTAACACCCGTGTAAATTCAACTGTTTTGAATCCTTCGCTGCACTTCTGCTTTATATTAAATTGGCGGTGGTTAAGCATAATAAACATTTCTCAAGTTTATCACATCGGTACAGTGTGTTTTTATTTCAGCCACACATCCTTATTACGCAACTCATTTACTAAATACTAGTTTATGTAGTTGACTTTGACGCGCACTTTAGTTTTAATACATTCAGTGGTATTACTATGCTGCCCTAGCCGTCAGTCAGTCAGCTACAACGTAGGACCAGGCACACATATGCATCAGTCCATTTTGCCATACCTCATTAGCACAACAAGATGAACACCAAATTCATAGAAGTAGTGGTGGTAATATATAAAAGAAAGGTTGTATATGAGGATATAGTACAGGAGGAAAGACAGATATGAAGCAATTTTAATCTCCCAGTTTAAGGGAAGATAAAGAGTGTATACACCTACGTCATTGTGATCAATTCCGAGTCATGTCACACAGAGTCTCCAACCATTGGTTACGATAATCATGCGGATCCCAACCAAGTAGTCTGCATCTACCAACATGGTTCAGACAAGAAGTTAGTGACTACAAGCTCTGATGCCACGTTTTGGTTTGGTCGCCATTAAATCTTGTGTTAATCGGTGTTCAGGCATACGTAACACGTGGCCCAACCATCTCAGTTGATGAAGATCCACAACCTCATCAACTGATTTACCATCCTTCCCTAATACCCTGCGTCTAACCTCACTATTACTCACCCGGTTATCCCAGCAGATGCGAGCAATATTTCTAAGGCATCTATGGTCAAATACTAGTAACTTACGAGTATCTTCTACTCTTAATGGCCATGTTTCGCAGCCGTAAACTAGAACAGAATGAACTGCTGTGCAGTATACTCGTCCCTTAATTGATAGACGGATATCTCGTCTTCGCCATAGGTGACGTAAGTTGGCAAAAGCCAAACGAGCTTTTCGAATCCGTGCTGAGATTTCGTCAGACACCAACCCATTAGGGCTGATCAGACTTCAAAGAAAAGTGAAGTTATCGACACGTTCGACAACTTCACTCCCCATCTTTAGTTCAGGTGTTGACACAGGCCAGTCCTGGAGTAACAATTTACATTTAGAGGGGGAGAAACGCATTCCAAATATCCTTGCATTGTTACTCAGTGCTACCAAAAGACTGCATTTTATCAGCGTCTTCACCAAATAGGGCTATGTCATCTGCGTACTCTAAGTCGATAAGTGGATCTCCTAGTAGGAAATCAATTCCTGAAAATTTAGTCGACGAGAGTGTTATTCCCAGCAACAGGTCTATAATGAAGTTAAACAAAAATGCGGATAGTGGACAGCCTAGTCGGACACCACTTGAGGTTGTAAAATCATATGACAGTTCGCCATAAGCTCTCACTCAACTGGTAGTGTTCGAGTAAAGAGCCTTCACAAGGTTTATGTACTTCTGAGGTACACCTTTCAATGACGGACACTGCCACAGAACCTCTCGGTCTACAGAGTCAAATGCTGCTTTTAAGTCAAGAAAAACTATCATTGTCGGACGCCGATAAGCATGTCTGTGCGCTAAAACTTGACGAATGGTGAATATGTGGTCGATACAGCCACGACGAGGTCTGAAGCCAACCTGATTTTCTCGTGTTTGCAGTTCACGAGTCTTAGTTAGGCGCCCGATAATTATTGAGGCTAGTATTTTAGATGCTATGTTGGTCAGACTAATCCCTCTATGGTTATCAAAGGATGATTTTGACCCCTTTTTATATATTGGGACAATCAGTGATTGTGACCAGTCGGATGGGATTACATCCGTCTCCCAGATTTTAGCCAGAATATTAGTCAACCTAATCGCTAAAATCGGACCACCATATTTAAAGACTTCTGGAGCCAATCCATCTGGACCAGCTGCTCTTCCTCGTTTCAGATTAGTTATAGCCTTTTGAACTTCAAGTAGGGTCGGGGGGCCTACTTCAATGTTCCATTCACACTGTTTGAGAATGGTGGGTAACTGTAGAGTTGCTGAAGGCCAGCTAAACTGTTCACTAAAGTGTTCCGCCCATCGTTCTAAGCATCTGGGCTGGTAGCAGATGAAAGTCTCATCTTCTTCCAAGATTGTCTCCCTTACAATTGATTTCTTAATTCCGGTTTCTTTTATTAGTCTGAAGAGTTGCCTGGTGTTGCCTACAGCCGCTGCCTTTTCCATCTCTTTTGCTTTCGTTGCCCACCACTGCTCACGATCGTTCCTTAGACTTTTAGTTAACCTAGATCTAATTTCTTTACGCTCTTCGTCATGTTCAGAGCCTGATGGGATGAGTTTACGCGAATCCATCAGTGAAATAGACTTAGAAGAAATCCATTGGTTTTTTGAAACTCTTTGGTTTTAATTACGAATAGATGTTACTGCTGTTTCCACAGCTGTTCGTATATCTTTCGAAGCAACATCTGGTTTAGCCTCGTTTACAGAACTGCCTAGATGTGAACTCAGTTGTTCCGGGAATTTACTTTTGACTGGCGTAGCCGGTGTAGGTATGGATGTGTTTTAATGTGGGATCTAGTGGTTGAAAGTCAGTTGGTTTGAAAGTGCATAATTCATACCTTTTTGTCGTGATTCATTCGTAAACATTTTCATGAAATAGGTTAATCTGCCGCTTAAGCGTTTTCCTATTTTTCAACTTTGATCTTCAAATTCGGTTCTTCTTTATGCTTATTAATCAATCAGTTTGTACTGTAGAGTCATACTCTAATTTTTATCCCCTATCTTGTATATTGAGAATTTCAAAATTATGGATAAAATAATGATTGGATATTAACAAGTTGTAAATAATTGTTATTACTGTTTTCTTTCTCTCCAGAGTCTCTGTGGATGAATTTTATGAACAATTAGAAATTTATGATTTACGTAAACAAATGCTTGTCAAGGAAGATAAAGAAATCCAAATGGAATTAGAGCGATTAGATCGAGAAAGAAATTTGCATATCCGAGAAATTAAACGAATTTCTAATGAAGATGCATCTCGTTTTAAGGACCATCCATTACTTAATGAACGATATCTTCTGCTTAATTTACTGGGTAAAGGTGGATTCTCGGAAGTTCACAAGGTTGGTTGTTCATTCTTAGACTATTCATTTTTGCTTACTTCAATAAAGTGGTTGGTTTTCATCACAAACCTAATATGACCAATAAAAAGCTAAACATGGACATTGTATACTTCTAGTTCATGGTCACTTTTTTCCAATATACTCCTACACCAGTCAGAATTATGTGTCGAAGAATGTGGTGGTTAAGCATATGTAACGTACGTCCAAGGCAACTCAGTCGTTGATGTTATTTATTTATTTATTTAAACACATAAATATTGGTACAAGGAAGCACCAGATACATATGCGCCGCACAAATCTCATTTGATTTGTGTGAGGGCTGTGATACTGCCCAGAGGCCCAAACTGAAACAGGTGGTTTTCTTAGGGGGCCACACCCAGAGCCTTTAACCTAAATGTCTGATCCACAAGGCAGTGGATCATCGTAAGGAGATGCAGTCCCATGGTAGTAGGTGACCAACGATTGATTCATAAGCCATTTGTTCCTTCAGGATACTGGAGCCAGCCCATGTGCACCATTGGTTTGGAATCATGGTATCCCAACTACCCTAGTTGGACTCTCCGTGTCCACCAACCCGGTTAAAACACCGGACATTCGCTTTTCGTCCTCTCAATTTGATAAACAACACCCGTGGTGCGAGAAAGCAGTGAGTAGGACTTCTCTGGCAGAGGCTATATACACGTGGCCATGTGAGAGCATTTGAAGAGGGAGAGAGGACTCTCCCCACTCTCGGCCGTACCAGGGCATTTGGGAGCCAGTCGTTGATGATAAGACTAAGGTGTCTAAGACCTTGTGTTATCTATGATTAGTCACCACCCAACGTGATCCATAATGCTGGCTGAAATGGGAAAAGACTGGAAGAACGACAGAGGTCTTCAAACCAAGCAATGGTATAATTCTGTGAAATTGTTGGCTGTCAAAATGATTCATTTTGCCAGATGTAGACTACTTGGTTAGGGTCCGCGTGATAACTGCGACCAGTAGTTGGAGACATTGAGCGTCATTCATCATCAACATAGATACCCGATATGTGCATTCGCCAACTTGCTACATCACATTAACATGACATAAAAACAACAAAAGGGGTCTAAATAATCCGATAGGGATGATGTTGTGAAAGACTGAATTATATCAGCTTGTGTTTAGATCTTACCTTGTTTATAATGTCTATCCAACCGGTTTTTCATTTTCACTTTATATAAGACAGTATTCAGTGAACTAATGAAAGTAATGAGAATAATAGATTTATTTGCTCTCCATTTGTCCGTCTTACAAATTAGATAACTGAAACATAGAAAGTAAATTGTGTATTAGGTACTGTTTTTCGCTCATCGTATTTAATTTGTCCTAATTTGATCCCTGATCCAATCACTACAAGATAAGCCAAAATGGCTACGCGTTGTATAGGTGTACTGATTACCACAACCAAATGGTGATTACAGTACCAGTGTTTGACTGAGTCTTGAAGCCTATAAGTAATCTAGAAACTATAAAAATATATAGATCTAGAAACTTAGTCTCCAACAGATTCTGGTCAAAGATGTTTTGAGAAGAAAACCGCTTCTCCAACGTTATTCACTGGCAATATTACGTACAATAGTACTATTCACAATAAAGTTGATTAAACCTGTACTTGATAAATAAGTTAATAAGGCATAGGCTACCTTCGATGCTTATTCTTCAATCCACTGGAAGGACTAGTAAAGTTACTATTAATTATCAAGGTGTAACCCATACACACCATTTCATTGTAGCAACATTTAATTAAGATTAACACATACACCGAAATAAATTCGGCTGATAACTAATTGTTACCTGGCGCGCTTCAGAGTCATACTGATTACGATGATAAAATAGTTTCTATCAATTTATTTCATATAATATTTCTTTAAATATCCTCAAATGTTTTGTTTTCATGTTTTTTTTTGTTTGTTCAGGGTTTTGATCTTGTAGCTAATCGATATGTCGCTTGTAAAATTCATCAGCTTAACCCTTCTTGGCCTAAAGATAAAAAAGACAATTACATTAAGTAAGTGAATATATATAACTATAGTGTCTGTGTTTGTGTATCTATGTTAGCTTGTGGGCCGGGTTCATTGGAAAAATTTGTGTATTATGTGTTTATCGTGGCGTCAGAGCTTGTAGTCACTAACTTCTTGTCTGAACCATGTTGGTAGATGCAGACTACTTGGTTGGGATCCGCATGACTATCGTAACCAATGGTTGGAGACTCTGTGTGACATGACTCGGAATTGATCACAATGACGTAGGTGTATACACTCTTTATCTTCCCTTAAACTGGGAGATTAAAATTGCTTCATATCTGTCTTTCCTCCTGTACTATATCCTCATATACAACCTTTCTTTTATATATTACCACCACTACTTCTATGAATTTGGTGTTCATCTTGTTGTGCTAATGAGGTATGGCAACATGGACTGATGCATATGTGTGCCTGGTCCTACGTTGTAGCTGACTGACTGACTGTGTTTAGAAACACTGCCACGTAATTTTCCCAATCTTATTGGAGTGCGGTTGCTTAGTGTTTAAAGCACTTAAGTTTTAACCAGTGAACTGGATACCTCAACTCCACCTTGCCCACATCAGTTTATACAGATGAATTTTATTGTTTACTTTCGCACCTAAACTCCCACAAAGTTGTCCACATGAATTATTACTTGGTAGATAGGCAACATTATTATTATTTGTTACTAGGTTTATGAGTCTTGTGAAAAAATTAAAAATCTTGCAGAAACGTTAGTATTCTGTCATTTAGATTTGAACTAATGGATCTGCTTAAAACAATGAATAATGGAACCGATTTAATTACACACTTGATTCTGTTCAGTTAAAATTCATTTTAAAAGATCGATCAAGCTAGTTGACATTGCTTGTTATGGAAATTAAATCATTCATTATTCGTTTTGGAACTAGTGCATCATTGAACTCAAACATTCACACGTTTCAAAGTTAAGTAAGAATTTTTAATGTATACGAACAAACCATAGTAATTCGAACTCATTTTCTGAAATAATCAGATAATCACAAACTTGTTTCTCAACAATAATGCTTATGATTTTTGTATTCCAAAAATGCGTTAGAAATAGTGATATTTGACGACAGTTAATGTCATATCATGTGGCACTACTCTTGTTAGTGGAAGAAACATTTCACATTTCTTGATAACAGTAGGTTGTTTATCTGAATTCACATTGCATCATTCACAATGCTTTGTTGATCGTTAGATCTACCTCTAGTTCCTTTGACAAGTACTATGATTCTCAGTGGTGATGATCTTTTTACTCACTATTTTTTATTGCTGCTCATGACATCAAAATAGTCTATGGTAGGAATAATTGTGAAAAATCCAACACACAAATTGTGATCTGAGAACGTTTTTAGTTCTAGTTAATGGTTTTCATGTAACAGTTTAACTGAAAGGCTTAGTATGGTATTATAGTATATCTACGCATCTCGAATATTAGATTGTAAACAGAATTTCCCACATCGTTAACATGAATATTTTAATATTGAAATAGTAATATTCTGGTCATTGTTAACTAAGAACCTCGAGTATTTCAACAAAATAATGTCATACTTTTCCATTTCCGAAATAATTTCCACTTTTTGATTTCTGAATCAGTCATTTTTAACAGAGTTGATTTCTATCGAAAACACTGTGAAAAACAATTGTCAGACGTTAATCCTGTGTATTCCAAATGGCAGACAGTGTGCTTCAACTTTTACTAGTATTTGTGTCATCATGCTTTTCTGTTTTTCTCGTCAGTTACTCCTAATACTGTAGCTGAAAACTTTACCAACTAGATTTCTGTCTCCCTTAATATTATTTTACTTAGACTAGGATACTTCTTATTTTCAGTATGGGGTTGTGGAGATTGTTGAATTTCATTGAAGTCATGAACCAATCAATGTTACATTTTTATTGTTTTAGTTAATTCTAATAAGTCAATCAGCAGGTAATGAAGTAGGGGGTTCTTTTAGTTTCATATCTAGTATTTGTTATTATTTATACCATTTTTTTAAGTGATGAAGTTTGACGTTAACATCAAACGCATCCACTTGTCAGCAGACAAGTTTTTTTTAAATCTACTTATTCCTATAGGTTTTCTCTATGCCGTTTAATATTCTCAATCTATTTTTAAAATCAGTGGTTACTTAATATCATTTGAGTAATATGATGTTAACTAATCTCTTTTTCTGAAAATCAAATATTTTTTATAGGCATGCGTTAAGAGAGATTGAAATTCATAAAACATTACACCATCCGAGGATAGTAAAAGTTTTCGATGTGTTTGATATCGACCATGATGCGTAAGTTTAATTGTCAATTCTCATATCTTAACATTGTATACACGAAAGCTTATTTACTATTGTTTCCCGTTTTTATGATAAGAGGAATGCGTATCCTACATTCGATTGGTAGTCACTATTCCATACAATGTGAATTGCGATACTGGGCTTCAGTTGGTAATGAATTCAAAACAAAGCAAATAATAAGCAAAGATGGATAGTGGCTAGCAGTGGAATCCAGGACGCGCGTTTCGTCTTATTTGGGACTCGTCAGCTGGATGTATCTGCATCTCAGAGTTGATGTTCACTGTGGGACTCAAATCCAGTAACTTTCGCTTCAAACGCCATCGCGTTATCCACTCGGCCACTGAGTCCTGATAGCCACTTGCTTGTGCGATGGGGTGAAGTTTAAATTCATTTAGTATTGTTTGTTTGAATCTTCCCATCGATGCTAGCCACTATCCATCTTTGCTTACCATGCTTGTAAATTAAGTCTATATCGAGGCAATACGCACAGTATGCACATATGCCAATTAGAGACTGACCAGTTTCAGTTCTAACACATCAATGGGAAGATTCAAACAAACAATACTAAATGAATTTAAAGCAAATAATAATTTAATAAAAATTTATTTACTTTAGCTCTCATACTGAATTACAATCACATTTGGTATGGACATCATGTCATAGAGAAAACTTTGTCAGTTAGTACCCTCTTGTTGTCCAATATAAGGCTTAAGTTCGCTTGACTTCATAATGAAGACGGTAAATAATAATTGGTGTGGGAAATATAATGTGAGATTTTCAAGTTCAAATAGATGTGTAGAGTATCCGATTTGAAATATTATTCATAAAATAATATATGCCTTGTATCAGCATGTAAAAGTGAACATATTAGCTTAAAGCGATTCAACTGAAATTTCTTCCGTGATTTTACGGTTAAGGAATTAAATAATTTTCCCAAAATTTAAACAAAGCCTCGAGTCACACTGGCTAGTGATACACTAAAAATTGGTTAATAGAATCCGATCACCAAGATAAGTCTGAGATACATGAACTTGGTCACTACCCAATGATCTATCAATTGTTATTGCATCTCAGTTCTATGGGTCAGTCGTGGCCCAAACGGCTCGGTGGCAACGTCTGTAACTGTGAAGCTGGGTGACACGGGATCAAATCTTCCAGGTAGCATTAGTTCTCGCAAGATTCCAGGTACGCTTTGCTGACGATTGCCAAATGTCACAAAACCTATGCTCAGGGTTTCCTGTTGACTATCTCCAACCAACACCTTATGATTTTCATCCACTTCGTGTTCAGTATACAAATATGCCATTCAGTTTGTTTATTTTTGAAATCATATATTTTTAGACTCGCTTCTTTCGTATATTTTTGGTTCTGTAGCTTTTGTACTGTACTTGAATACAGTGAAGGTAATGACTTGGATTTCTTTCTTAAACAAAACAAAAGTATTCCGGAACGTGAAGCCAAGTCGATTATATGCCAAGTGGTTTCTGCTTTGAAATATTTAAATGAACGTAAACCTCCTGTAATTCATTATGACTTGAAACCAGGTATGTACAGTTGTAAATTTGCGCTTACCGTGTGATTATTTTTTCCACACTGTAATGTATATTAAAGTACTTTAATTTCTTAAATAATGGCTCAGTTACTTTCTCTACAATCTTTTCTAACATATTGATTCCACTGCTAGCCAGTATCTATCTCTGAAATGTTTCTGACTAAATGTCAATGTCGAGGCAGTCCGAACAGAATTCAAATACGCCAAAATAGACTGATCAGTTTCAGTCTTTAAACATCAATGGGAAGATTCAAAAAAACCAATACATATTAATTCTGAATGAATCATTATCGAAAGACAGGTCAACTAGCCAATGGAATAAGTATTTCTTCCACCAGAATAACATTCTTATGTATAAAGTACTAAGCATCAAGTTGATGGTGTAGCATTCTTACCATAAACGATATTATTTCTCATACCGAGTGAAATTTATGTGTTTATTACACGTATTAAAAGTAACGCACCTTAATTTATATAAGACGCAAATACAGAATAAATCACGGTGCTTCCTTCTACGCTTCACTGACTATTTGTATCTTTTTCACCAAAATGTTTTCAAGCAAAACGAAACATTGATGAATTTCCATAATGATTACATTATGTGCGATTTTACTTATTAATTTAATGACTTATTACAGGTAATATTTTACTGGGTTCTGGCCAAGTTGCTGGTGAAATCAAAATCACGGATTTCGGTTTAAGTAAACTTATGACAGAAGATAAATACAATCCAGAGACTGGAATGGATTTAACCTCCCAAGGAGCAGGCACTTATTGGTATTTACCACCGGAATGTTTTGAGACGGGGCGGGAACCTCCAAAAATATCTTCAAAAGTGGATATATGGTCTGTTGGTGTAATTTTCTTTCAGTGTTTGTTTGGAAAAAAAGTTAGTTTTCTATAGTTTATCACTTATTTTCAACAAGTTATTATTGTTCTGAAAAACTAATTAGTTATTTTACATTTATACTGCCTACCTTTTTTCCTAACTACGAGATTTTAGTGACAGCATTATCTTACCATCGAATAACCTATCATGAAGAAATGATCAGTTGTCAAACAGTTGAAGACCAAGAAAGACTAGATAGCCAAACAGAAAAGCTTTCAAATTGAGTTAAATCCCCATAAATCACAAGTTTAAGTGCAGCCATATATTTACTAGTAATGATAAGCCTTGAAATGAATTCTTACAGTCCTAGTGTTTAATTGTTGATCTATCATATCTATATAACGCGGTTATAGCACCGATATAATCGAATGGTCATCTCTATGTAGCGAGTCGGTGGAAGTTGAAATGCATAGCTCATTGAGTTCTGATAATGATTTTATGTGTCATATTTGTCACGAAAATTGATATGTCTTGTAGGTTGAACGCTTTATTCAGATCCTAAGCTATTCGGATAACCCCAGGGCTAGCACTACTCAGCGATTTGAACACCAGAGAGAAGACACGAGTATCAGAGAAACACTTTACTGCAAGGTTCATTCTAGTACAGAAAATCATAGGTATTTATAGATGTTAGCATATATTAAATCAACATCCTATTTCAGCCAATCCATTTAACGACATATATTGCTACCGACCAATAGTAGCATGCGACATTGGAACTCCAGAATGTTCTATCGTACTCTGATTAGTTGGGGCTCTTTTTGAGCCTCTGGGGACTCTGTTGGAGTTCTCCGGAAGCCAATTCAACACCTCCCCCGAATAAGATTTCTTTCTAGGGTCAACGTGTAGTTTGACAACTGGGTTGCGACGTCGTTCCATTATTCTCGTCGTCTTCCTTGTCCATGGCTTCTTTTCAGTGTTCTTGGGCATTTGTGGCATTGGTGCATCTAAGATTAAATCTAACGGAAAAATCGGCCGGTTACTTCTATTCTGCATCGTTCTTTTGTCTTTAAGGATTTGATTTGTGTGTCGTGTACATGTCCCAAAAGTTCCTCGAACTCTGTACAGAACTCTTCCCAATTTTTGTACAACTTCTCCCGGCCCCCATCGGTTCTTCCCGATGTAGGATTTAATGTAAACTTTGTCGCCGACATTGAAGTTCCGGATACTTGGATTGTGTCTGTGCTCATCGACTAATTTGGATGGCAACATGACATTGAAGACGGTTCGAACACGCCTTCCGAACATGACTTCCGCAGGAAACTTGCCGTCTGGAACATTCGGATTCGGAGTGGATCTGTAGTATGTTAAAAATTTCGTGATCACCTGCCCAGTCGGCCCTTCGCCTCCCCCCTTCAGTAATGCTCGTTTAGAGGTGTCTACGAAGCGTTCTGCTTGTCCGTTAGATTGTGGATGATAGGGTGGAGAACAAAGATTGGTTATTCCTTTTACTTACAGAAATGCTTAAACGATTCTGCGGCGAATTGCGAGCCGTTATCTGTTACTAAGGTCTTTGGTACTCCGAAACAGCTAAACAGGGTAGACAGCTTGTGGATTGTTTCCGATGCTGTACAATTTGGCATGGTATATACTTCCGGCCATTTAGTAAATGCATCTACAATAATTAGAAACATTTTCCTTGGATTGGACCAGCAAAATCTGCATGAATTCTTTCCCAGGGTCCTGCAGGCGTAGGCCAATACTGAGGTTCGCATTTCACAGGATTTTTAGCGGCTTGAATGCATGATGGACAGTTACGGCATTTATTCTCGATGTCTTTGTCCATTGACGGCCAATAAGCATAACTACGAGCCAATGATTTCATTTTATTGATTCCAGGATGGCCACTGTGAAACTGCTTGAGAACCTTGTGACGTAATGACTTCGAAATAACAATTCGATCACCGAACATAATACACGAGTCAACAACCATTAGTGAGTTCCGTCGACGAAAATATTGCAAAAGTTCTCCGTCAAGACGATTGTTTGGCCACTTGGTCAAGAGATAGCATTTGACTGTGCTCAGTATCTCATCACTTTTAGTGATCTTCTTGATAGTTCCAAAGGTTACTGGGAGTCCATTAATTGCGTCATCCAATACACGATGAACTTCTTCCTCGGCTTTTATATTTGCTACAAGAGTCTCCTCTGGGTTTTTTGATTGGGAGCCTGTTAATCTTGACAATGCGTCAGCTTGTCCGAAGGCAGTAGTAGACTGATACTTTATCTTGAAGTCGTACGCCAGAAGTGTGGTTGCCCATCGTTGTAGTCGGGTAGCTGTGTGGAATGGAATACCTTTCTGTGACCCAAAAACTGCAAGTAGTGGTTTATGGTCTGTTATTAGAGTAAAATGTCGGCCATATATCATCTTATGGAACTTTTTCACTGCAAAGATAATTGATAGGCCTTCTTTTTAAATCTGACTATAGTTCCTTTCGGTCGTTGTCAAAGATCTGGCAGCGTGTGAGATAGCTTTTTCAGACCCATCAGGAAATATGTGAGAGATAACTGCACCCACACCATAGTTAGAAGCATCTGAAGCGACGACTATTGGTAGCGAAGGATCATAGTGTGTCATTAAGAGATTGGAAGTCAGGTGTCGCTTGATTTTCTCGAAAGACGCTTGGCAGTCTGCAGACCAATTCCATCTCGTATTCTTTAGTAGTAGGTTGTTTAGTGGAGCACGTAGACGATGGAGACCGGGGAGGAAGGTACCATAATGGCTGACCAATCCCAAGAATGATCGTAGGGTAGTAATGTCCCTGGGTCTATGCATTGCTTGAACTGCTTCAATGTTCTCTGGATCTGGTCGTCTTCCGTCTTTATCTATTATGAACCCAAGGTACCGTACTTGCTGCATATAAAAGTCACACTTTTCCGCTCGGAGGCGAAAATCATAATCGGCTATGCGTTCTAGTACCTGGTCCAGTTTCTTCTGCAGGTCCATTTTATCTACTGCCATAATTACGATGTTGTCTAAGTAAGCTGCTGCTCCTGAAATACCTTGTAACATGGTATCCATAATTTGCTGAAAAATAGAGGGCGCTGTCTTCACCCCAAAAGGTAGTCGGTTATACCGGAACAGACCTTTGTGTGTGTTGACCGTTAAAAGATCTTTGCTTTCATCAGATACCGGGATTTGTAGATATGCGTCTGATAAGTCCAATTTCGCAAAATATCTGCCACCGTTCAGCTTAGCGAAAAGATCTCCTGGTAAGGGCGACGGATACTGATGGGACTCTAGAGCTTCATTTAATCCTGTGGAGTAGTCTGCACATAGACGGACACTTCCAGTCGACTTCTTAACCACCACTATCGGTGCAGCCCAGTTCGAGAAGTTCACAGGCTCGATAACACCCATTTGCTGAAGTCGTTGTAACTCCTGTTCAACTTTTGGAAGAGCAGCATAGGGCACAGGTCTTTTAGGTCGAAAAATGGGAGTAGCTGCAGGCTTTAGAGTTAGCACTGCTTTAGCCTTCGTGCATTCGCCTAATCCTTCTTTAAACACGTCTTGGTGTTTTTTTAGCAAGGCATTTTTCTGACTCCACTCTGAAGTGTTGTGAGTTGTGATTCGTTTGCAGATACTGTTAATAGAGTGGTCTGCTAGGTTGTGTTTCTATAAGATCTAGCCCCATTAAGTCGAGTGCTGGCTTCTTTGTAAGATATACTGTTGCACTTGTTGTTACGGCACCTTTAGACACAATGCAAGGTATTTCTCCAACAATATTTACCTTTCCACCTGATGCACTGTGTGCTATTTGTGATGTTCGATGCACCGTGGGTCGCCCAATCTTCTTCCAAGTTTCTGGACTTATTAAAGTAATATCAGAAGCCGTATCAAGCTGAAGTCGAGTGCGGTGTTTATTAATATTCAAGGTTACGTACTTTCTCTGGCAGCAACTTCGAGCTTTGTTATGTGATACCAAAATTCTTTTCGTTAATGCCCCAGACCTGTATTTCTTGAAGTAAGGATTTGCAAAATGTCGTTTATAGTTTCTTTTCCTGCAGCTGGTTTCTATGTGGCCCCTTCGGTGACACTTACTGCAACAATGTTCTTTATACGGGCAAAACCTCTTATAGTGCCAGCCTCCACATGCCCAGCATGGAGATGATGGTTTGTCGCGGTTATTACGATAATTACGTGTGCTGAAACCTTGCAAGGATTTTCTCTTGACTGCATTGACATTATGGAAACAGTCACCGTTTTCTACCATTGAGGTATCATGCTTCAAGTTCACTAACCTTTGGCACTCGGTAGTTACTTCCTGTAGGGTCATGTTAGGGCAATGTTCAAGTTTGCTTAGGATTCTGGTCCGGATATCAGCATCATCAGGTGAACGCAGGCTGCAGATAAATACTAAGCATTTAAACTGGTCCTCAGACATGGACGACAATTTGAACCTCTCACATTCACGGTTCACAGTTCCTGCATGTTTCACCCAGTCATCTCCAGATTCTTTCGTTAACATTAAGCACTGATAACGGATATTAATGAAAGATGATTGTTCTCCGAAGATTTGGGACAGGGTTTTGACTGTTTCAACAAAACTAAAATCTCGTGGGTTCTTCGGAAGAATGAAGTTGCTGTAGCGTTCATGTTCCACAGTCCCAAGTTTTCTCAGAGGTGTTCTGACTTTCGAATCGTCATTCAGGTTGCGAAGATCAATATGAAACAAGTCTTCGTACTTCTTAAACCACGACTCAAAAGTTATTCCTGCTACACCATCAAAATTAAACTCATGTATGGCGTTAATGACTGAAACAGTATGTGACACTTGTGACTCACTAGAAGCAGGGTTTCTCTCGGACAGGCAGAATTTCTGCATCGGGTTTTCCATGATTCTAATTTGGGACTCTTCAAACCTCTTTTCTTGACGCACCATATAGGCTTCTAATTGCTCCAGAGAAATATTCATTGTCATTTTCCCGTCGCCACTGATATGTCTTGTAGGTTGAACGCTTTATTCAGATCCTATGCTATTCGGATAACCCCAGGGCTAGCACTACTCAGCGATTTGAACACCAGAGAGAAGACACGAGTATCAGAGAAACACTTTACTGCAAGGTTCATTCTAGTACAGAAAATCATAGGTATTTATAGATGTTAGCATATATTAAATCAACATCCTATTTCAGCCAATCCATTTAACGACATATATTGCTACCGACCAATAGTAGCATGCGACATTGGAACTCCAGAATGTTCTATCGTACTCTGATTAGTTGGGGCTCTTTTTGAGCCTCTGGAGACTCTGTTGGAGTTCTCCGGAAGCCAACTCAACAAGTTTGTTTTCATATCATGCATTGATGAGATGTCCCAAACCAAAATTGACCAATTGTCTGGTGATTTCTGGTTTATTCATTTCACGCCATTCCATGATGAGAAAACTACTTTTTATTTTTATCTTTGATATTGAAGTAGTATCACTAATATATGAGCAATGAATACATTATTCGTTTGTTTTTTCCCAATATATAGCCATTCGGTCATAATATGTCCCAAGCTGATATTTTGCACGAAAATACAATTCTTCATGCACGATCTATTGTATTCCCTTCCACTACAAAAGTTAGCGATGGAGCAAAAGTAAGTCTGTTTTGCTCACTTAGTTGTAAAATATTCTCGTGTTAGATTCACACGTTTAGCTCACTTTCGTGTTAGTTAGTATTGCGATACACAAGTCATCCATCCTTGTCTTCTACTTCATTGTTTGTTTTCTATGTATTAGACAATCAAATCTTGATGCGGTTGGTAACTTACAAGATGTTTCTGATTTTGACCTATTACAAGTCATTAGGATAGATCTGTCTACATTTCATTGCAACATCTGCTGTTCGCGACCACCAGCAAAAATACTATGACCAATCATTCTCCACTAACCAGGGTTTCTTATCTCTCAAATAAGTGTTAACCAAGTTAAATTTATCAACATATACAGTACACCATAAACAATTCATCTTTTTTCATTAGGGATGCAGTCAAAACACAGCCTGATTTGTTTATTTTTCTGGATCCATTGATATTTTAATGATAATAGATAGACTGAGCGACAATATTGTTCCAGACAATTTTTTTTATCTCATTGATCTGACGTTTTATACAATAGTGATATACAACTTCGCAAAATAATGCTGTGCTTAGGCAAGTAATATATTACCACAAATGACCGATTTAAAATTTGCCTCATCTTTTATCAAAGTTTATACCCAGTAATTGAAGTTGTCTCATGATACATTACTCATTAATAAATTGTTTAAAATATGCGTACACATTTTTTTTGTCTCTTTTGTTAATTAACTGATTCCATTTTTTTTGTTTTAGGAATTTATTCGAAAATGTTGTACGTATAGAAAAGATCTTCGACCGGATGTCTTTCAACTTAGCAACGATGATTATCTTAAACCTAAAGCTCAACTTAAGTAAGTGTTCCCTTGATGAATGGCTTTAATATACACATATAATATTCCAATTGTACTATCAATCATTTTTATTGATCATGTTCAACACCACATAGAACTTCATTCATATGTATAACTGTATAACACCTATAGTTTAAAATTGCTCATTTGTTCTATTCTTATTTTCCCTTGTCATATATTTTATTGAATACAACCAATTCCTTCCGCCTATTTGGTTATCATGATTAGTGTGATTTATTTTGTCAGTTTGGATTGGATAAATTTCAATTGACCCGTTTTTTCCCCAAAAGGTTTCAGCAAGTGTGACGAGATCATTATCTTTTACACAATTGCTTAGCTTATTATATCAATTCGTATATATCCTAATGAGTAGAAAAATCGTACTTCTGACGTTTCGTGACCTAATGTATCCCACTGCAGAGTGAATAAATAACCGAATTAAATTAACACAAGTTTAAGTAGTATATATATAATAATGATCTTTTCTTTATTAATACTCTCAGTTTTATCCTCCCTAATTTTCTATGTAAGAATTCTATTACCGCGCAGTTAATAATGTCCTTAAACACTAGTAAAATATTACTATCGAGGAGGATGTTATCATTATCTAAATTAGCTGAAACAATTTGAATATACTGGTTATCAGTTTGAGTACAAAGAGTTCAAGTGGTTCAATTAAGTTGATGTAGCGTCTAGGGTCACTTTTTTCAAATGTTTATGTTCATCAGAAACACGTCAGTTTTACATATTTTATGCATTTCTAAACTATCCCACAGTAAGATTTTTTGTCTTGACCTACTTTATCTCCATTTTTCAGACATTATCTCGATACATCTACACTCCCTGGTCCTGTCGGTGTCCCACTAAATATGGCTACCCCCCCACCTTCAACTTGTATTGATCCCTCTGTCCCCACTCCTGTTAGCAACCAGTGTATAATATCTGGATTTCTAACAAACAATCCTGGAAATTGCGCTGCCCAGCTTCACCCACAACATATCCTTCAACATCAACCACAGGCTGCATCTTTCTCCGTGCTACAGAATCAGGAAGCTACTCCATCATCACAACCTTCAACCTTGCAACCATCAAATCAGACAGATTTTATAACAAGACGTTGTATTAGTTAAGCAATAATTGAACATTATAAAGCGAATATCACACTCCATCTTTGTTTAACTAATACAACGTCTTACCACAAAAGTTTTCTGATTTGTGAGAATATCGAGTAATTTCATCGCAATATTAGTAAAAGATCAGCGATGCTGCTCCTTATAATAGTTTTGACTATGATCATTGCTCTCTGTCCCTATGTGTGTATTATCAATTTCTTTTCAGTGTTGAAGCGTAATGGTCTTTCATATTCCCAATAGGAAAGATTATGCTGGAAATTCTAGTAGAATAAACCGCTTTTGTCTCTAATCTATGCGTGATTTTTCAATAGTATTTGAAATGAAGTTTCATAATAATCCCTGTATTCGATACCATATGTTTGATTATAACAAGTAATTCCAAGCACAAAATCTGCAATATCTCAACAACTTCTCGTATTATATTCATTCAACTTGTAAATAAAAAAATTTGTATTAAAAAATTTTAAACAGTAACTAGCTGTTATTTATTTTCCTTCACAAGTGCTTCCAACCAGTTTGGCTTTTTTGACGTTTTCCCTCATCTTATGTTATACTTAATATATGTGGATCCGGTTGCAATCGTCTCTTCAAATGACAAAAAGAAGAGGATGTGCCAATCGCTGTGATGGTGTTGGTGAATCTTTATTGTGCGATAGTTAGCTCTGCTATAGGTTTTGTTATAACTTGTCGTCTTGTACCCCCATCATTATATGACGCAATGATACCACCAATTAGAGAACAGTGGCTTATCGATCAATGACGCATAAACCCTTAAGAGCAGTCTAGAGTCCTCATCGGTCCTTTTTTCTGCCTAGCCCTGCCCCTTGAGTCCAGAACACCAATCACAGTCTCTGGGATATGAATCATGTATTTCAAACGTACTGCGTTTATATACAAACCACATCGCACCACAAATAGAAAACAACATTTGTACAAGATCTAACCAAAAGTGGCTGTGAATGTGGGAGACTGTAATTAATAGACTGGACATAACTGAAGGACGATAAATCGTATAATAATAGTCTATAGGTCAAAAGTTACCATTCATAATTCTCGTCGGGTTTTAACAGTTTCAAGCTCCCTATAAAGGTGCTTGAGTACGAACTTAACGTACGTAATGAGTGGGTTTAAATAATTTTGAAAGGTGAAAATTTGTTACAGTATTAACACAGTTGTAAAGTAATTGGTTTAGAGGTTTCTTCTAAATTTTTTATAGATAGCAAATGAACGGAAAGCATACGTCAATTCCAGCGTGTACTTTTCCGTTTAGATAACTACTGTTCCTTTTTTATTGTATTGACCGATACAAGTTCGTTGCATTTCGATCAAATGAATTTTAGTATAAAAATGTTGGCTTTGGTGACTACTAACCTTTGTTCTGGGCGACAAGAGTATATTATTGAGTTTGAATATTAGTAAAGTTCCGGTCGTGTTAGCATTGAATATTCTGAATCTATTATTATCTAGTCTAGATAATAATTTAAGTGCTGTATGGTTGCGGGTTTATTGTTAAAGGTGAGGAAGTTATTACATAGACAGTATATCCCCGTCTGTATTAGTCTCCAAACTGGTTTTACTAATGAAATTTCAATAATCATCCCGCTTAACTTGTAAAGAAATCAAAACCTTTTACTAGGGAACTTTGTAAGCTGTTAAGAATAGTGGCTTAACGATTAAAGCCTTCTCTCAACCTATAATTCGCCGGTTCGAACTCCTCTCCACCTATGTCGATTTGGACAGCTGGATCGCCGGCCGTCACATCTAATGTAGCACATAAATCTGAGTACACAATCTTGTGCGGGAGTTTCATCCTAACGAAACACGCTGAGAAATTGAGATCCTCGAATGGAATCTAACAGTTAATCGTACCAATCGATTCGCCTAAAAGAATGAAGATTTGATTCGTACAGTTGATACCAGTACGGAATTACTTGTCCATTTATCTGTAGTTCTTAAGTAGTTCTATCAGAATCTTAGTCGGCTATGTTTCAATATTGTGTACCTTTCACACGACTAATTTTCAACAAACTGTTGAATAAACGTAATGAAAATAATCTGTTATTTTCATAAAGTTAATTAATCCTTTTTTTCTAAGCTAGTAAAGTGAGCTAATAGAATAAGTAAGGAATCCAAAGCTGAAACAGGGTACTATCATATACCAACCGATTATTAGTATTTAGCATGTAACTACTCATAATTTAAAATTTGACTAGAAAAAGTGAACTGATTACCCAGTAATCTTGTTTCCAAGTATTTCTTTAAGTTCCATTGACATCGAATGGTCGCGTCTTGCAATATGATCACATGGAAGTATGTTGTACCAAAAAGTTAACTGACTAATTCCAGAACCACCAAATGTGTGGAGAAAATGTTGAAAACTGATAACCGAACTCTGGATTTGATTTCCTAACCATTCCTGATAACCCCATGCTAAATTTAGAGGGAACTTGAACACATGAGGAAAGGCGCGAACTGCTAAGGGGGCGCTTTACTCCAAATTTAGTTGGTTTACAAAAAAACGAGGGTGTTTCAGACTGCCTTGGGCTTCTGGAACCAAACAAAATATAGTAGCGGCCCGGATGAACTTTTTCTAGGAATACTTTGGAACTCCCCAACAAAAATGGGGTTAACATCTTGTTAACTAAAATGTGACATTATTGATTTCTAAGTGATGTGTAGTATACTTGATCCAGTCACCTAGTCTCAGATTTTAACTAAATTATCGGGATCCCTCCCACCATAAAGGGAGTCAAACTCGCCTTACTGATAGGTTTCGGTAAGCACCAAACGTTTTTAGGAACCGACTACGAAATATGTGAAGCATTGTTTTTATGACCACATATTCATGTGAGCTATTATGTTTTGGGGCAATGACTCACTGTTTAGTCAGTTTGCGATCCCTCTAAAGTGTGCAGTCGCTACTCGACACATAGTTGAACCCAGAGATTTCAGCCTGCTCAAGGAGTAGTATGAATTTAGATCAATCAATCGGGTCCCAGTAGCCTACAATTTTCATTTAAACCGTTTCCCAATGTTCCTTGATTATTCATTACTATCGGTAATAACTTTCCCACGACTAACACAATTTATTTAAACTTGATATTAAGTGACTTATCTGGCTAGACCATGATAACATCGCAATTAAACCTTATTGAACACAGCGTTACCTAAAGAGCTACCTAAGCTATGATTGTCTCGTATTGCCAATGAAGTTCTCAACTTTTCTAGTTCTGGATAAATTGAAATTTTCAATTATACCCCAAAGTTCAATGTTGAAATCAGATCTTGTTTATTTAGTTGAAGTTTTGCCAATTCAATGATAATTGATAATCGACACTAGGAAATACTGGATTTTGAAAGAAAGTAAACAAATAGCATTATTCACTTGGTATTGTTTGTTTGAATCTTCCCATTGATATTTTAGGAATGCAACTGGTCAGTGTCTTATCGGCATATGTGCGTATTGCCTCGATATAGCCTAAATTCACAAGCATGGTAAGCGAAGATGGATAGTGGCTAGCAGTGGAATTCAGGATGAGCGTTCCGTCCTATTTGGGACTGGTCAGTTGGATGTACCTGCATCTAAGAGTTGATGTTCACTGTGGGACTCGAACTCAATGCCTTACACTTCAAACGCCATCGTGTTCTCCACTCAGCTACTGAGTCCTGATGGCCACATTCAGCTGACGAGACACAAATAAGACTAAAACGCCTGTCCTGGATTCCACTGCTAGCCACTATCCATCTTTGCTTATAAATCTCTAAAATTGATTGAATTTAGACATTGTTTTCAATGGTTATCTAATGAAGGTTATTTCCTTACGTAAATTATATGATTCTAACTAGCCATTATGATCCAAAAGTTATTACTTTGAACAAAAAGATCATTTATTACGACGGAAACTGATGTAAAGAATCATGTGGCAAATGTATGATACATCAGATTCTAATAATGAACTTCGGCGTATAAAATGCTTTTAATTCTCATAAGACTCAAAAAGTTCTTACACCACTAGAAAGATATATCTGAATCTTTGATAAAAATCTCTCATACTATCATGATTCTCAGTGATGCTTCAAATTATATCTATTCATAATATAACTAGTTTTAGAATATTCAGACTTTCCTATAATCCTGATTGAACAATTCAGGGTAATTCATCATTTATGGATGGAGTATCTGCTGTGAATATCGAGAACTAGTCGATCTGATCGATATCGTGATTCTATCTAACCTTAGACTGGAGTCAATTATAATTTCAATGAAATCGGAACAAATGAATTCACTTATAAATAAATATGAATTACAATCACTCAATTAGTCAGTGAATATAGAATTCAATTCGATTAATATTATCCAAGTTAAGAGCTTGGAGTATGATAAGGCCAGGTGATAGGTTTTGATTTAATTGTAGATAAATGGGCATCGAGGTTTTTATTAGTAAATATGGATAGTGAATACTGTTGAATTTCTTAAGATGTAAATTAAGGTAATGCTTTGAGAAGACGAAAGCATTAGAATGTAACGGGGATAGAGAAGAATTTTAAAAAACGATCTAGGTTTAGTGGAGAATACACAAAGATTGGAGGAGATTCTTATGAAAAGCCTGACATTCGTTGCTGAGTCAATCCAAGTAGACCATCAATTTCTCACTTCAATTATTATTGTTAGATCGGCTTACAATAAACTCTATCAGAGCCTCCAGAGAGGCTCATAAAGAGACCAACCAATCAGCGATTAGTTAGAAGCTATGCTACTAAAATGCCACTAAAATAACAAGGTTCTGATTGGCTGTTAACATACTGTTACTATGGGATCCCAAGGTCTTTTAGCTACTATAAAACCCCTGTTTTTCTGTACATAATTGAACCTTGTAGTAAAGTGCTTCTCTGATACTCGTGTCTTCTCTCTGGTCTTCCAAGTCGCTGAGTAGTGCTAGCCTGGGGTTATCCGAATAGCTAGGATCCGAATAAAACGTTCAACTTACGAGTCATAACAATTATACCGTCTTAAACTTAACTACAAATATTCCTTAGGTAATATAGTCTATGTACGTAGTTGAGTTAGTTTACTTGAGTATTAAATTCATGGTACGTTGTCATTAGTAAGATGTAGTCAATAGATAATTTGTAAAACTAGAACAGTATGGATATAATACTAAGTCAAAAACAAAATGTTATCCATTAGCATTACATTCACTTGTATATTCACCCCCAATTATCCACTCCATAGTATTAGGAAAAAAAATCATCTCATCAAAAATTTGTTATTGACCGTCATTAGTAAATCATCAAGATTCAAATCCAGTTACTTTCAGGAGTTGAACTGGATGAATGAATGTCTTTCAGTAAATATTGAATTGTTGAAAAATGCTTCAAAGTAGTACTAACTAAACTTACTGTAGTATAACAGGAAAATGTATATGAATTGTGAAATAGGTACGATCAACTTTACATTCCAATAATCATTTATGTCTTAAGCGAATTTAAATCTTGTTTATTTTAATTATTCTGTAAACAAGTATATCATTTTAATATACAAAACGAATGAAATTTTATTGGTCAGCTAATCATCACTAAGCCACACCGTTAGTATCAAGTCAAGGGTTTTGGATTTTACTACCACTCATAGTTCAAGTATAATAAAAACTTCTGATCAAAAGGTAAGATCAAAACAATCCACACAACATACAACAACGAAGATGAATTAATTACAGTATCGAATAGAAACAGTTCCCGCCTTTTCGAGTTCTTTTTAGAGTCTGTCCTCGTTGTGATTTTCTTCACCGTTTGTATTCTTAGTTACTATAGACCAAATCGAGTTAAATTCTAAGATAAAACAAAAATAAACCTTATGTTATAAAGTCTATCAGGATTAAGTCTGTTTTTTTTCGTCAATTTCACTCATCATGTCCAGATTAGCATTGCAAAAAGTTAGAGGTGAGATAAGGAAATAAGTAAACTTAAATAGTATCTGAAAACATTACAATGAGCAGGGGAACGTACACTTATTGCGAGAAGTTACGACGTATTTACCTAATACATATAAACAGCTTTCTCTCGTTCATTTTCATTTCCCGGTGTTTTCTGAAATATAAACTGTCTATCCGACTGGCCTCCAAGTGTTCTACCTGTTATATCCTAGTGAAGAACAAATTACGGGCAACTTCTGAGAACTATTAATGGATTATATATATATATATTACTATTGTATAACTGGTCAGTAACTTACTTACTTACGCCTGTTACCCCTCGCGGAGGAGCATAGGCGACCCACCAGCATTCTCCATCCAACCCTGTCCTAAGCAATCCTTTCCACATGTTATTCATCCTTCTCATATCTGCTTCCATTTCCCGACGTAACGTGTTTTTGACCTTCCTTTTTTCCGTTTACCTTCCGGATTCCAAGTTAGGGATTGCCTCGGGATGCAGTTTGATGATATCCTCAAGGTATGTCCTATCCACTTCCAACATCTTTTCCTAATCTCACCTTCAGTTGGAAGCTGGTTTATCTTCTCCCATAAAACGCTGTTGTTGATGGTATCCGGCCAGTGAATGTTGAGTATTTTGCGTGAACAACTGTTTATAAATACTTGTACGTTCTTAACAGTGGGTGTAGTAGTTCTCCACGCTTCAGCTTCATACAGTAGGACTGTCTTAACGTTCGTATTGAAGATTCTGACTTTGAAGTTAGTTGACAATTGTTTTTAGTTCCATATGTTCTTCAATTGTAGAAATGCTACCCTTGCTTTGCCAATCCTCGCCTTTACATCTGCATCCGATCCTCATTGTTTATCAATGATGCTTCCCAGGTACGTGAATGTTTCCACCTCTTCCAGTGTTTCTCCATCAAGTGTGACTGGGTTAGTGTTCTCCGTGTTGTATTAGAGAATCTTGCTTTTTCCTTTGTGTATGTTGAGACCTATTGATGCAGAGGCTGGTGCTACATTTGCTGTCTTCATCTGTATTTGTTCGTGTGTATGAGATAGGAAGGCTAGGTCATCTGCGAAGTCCAAATCGTCTAATTGATTCTGAGATGTCCATTGTATTCCGTGCTTCCCGCAGATGTCGAAGTCTTCATAATCCAGTCAATTACCAGAAGAAAGAGGGAGGGGGACAGTAGACAGCCTTGTCTGACTTCAGTCCCTACTGAAAATGCGTCTGTCAGCTGTCCTCCATGCACGACTTTGCACTGTAGTCCATCGTATGAGTTTTAGATAATGTTGATAATCTTCTGAGGAACTCCATATTGTCAATGTTCAGCAACTAGTTTAGGTATATCTATATTCCTCTTGCTATAAGCTTTATTTTGACCCATAGATTATTATTATTATTATATGATTAACTGTTCCAAAATTATGTTCAGTTTAGTAGTTACCGTCTCCCACGTTCACAGCCACTTTCGGGCTTGATCTTGTATAAATTTTATTTCCTATTTTATGGTGTGATGCGGTCTGTTTATCTGGTATGTTTGAAATAAATAATTCGCATAGCGGGAGCTTTTACTGGCCCTCTGGGCTCAACTGGGCGGGATAGGGGAACAAAGGATCAATAAGGACGCTAGGCTGCTCATACCCGTCGAACGTCATTAGTTTGGCACAGCACTAAGATTGAATGAGTCGTAACTCGAATACCGAATAAGTCACGTGGTAACTAGATGGCCTTAAAACACAACCCTACCAAAACCGTAATTTTGGTACACTGAGACTCTTCAATCTATCCGACAGTTGCTGCATTTTCAACGACGCGTTCCGCTACACACTATTTACAAACATCTCTGTAAGTAGCGTCCACTACAGTTAGGATTATCAGCCATAATCATACGTAGATTTTGACCACTAGTCTTGTGCTTTGTTGTTTTGACTGCTGTTATTATCATGTGAAATAAACTTAATTGGGAAGTCTTAGGGGTTATTATCAACACTGTAGGACTAACTACGTCTTTATAGATCTTGTAAAATCATTCATTTGGTTTACTCGTTAATTCTTAATAGTTGTTTAGGTATTTGATAATAAGATGTTATTAAAACAGAAGTGGTTATTCGGTCATGGGAATAAAAAGATTCTTTGTTGCTGAATTAAATGATCTGTGGAATCACCGAAATCCAGTTATGTTAGAAATCTTCAACCACTCATCGGGAGAGTCAGGAAATATTCTGGAATTACTCCGACTGGTTAATGCTCTTAGGAAATTCCTAAAAGAAATATCAACGGTGCTTTATTATGTTATTCTTACCTTGATCAAACAACTACCGATTTTAGCATGCTTTCAGACAGCTTTTAGGATCTTACTGTCACATGAAGTCCTAAAAATATAATTGAATCTCGAAGTACAGAATCTTTTATATATATGTATAATCGGTGGCAAACTTGGCCTAAATACTAACACAGAAGTATTATTATTATTAGCTTTATTCAATATTACATTTTTGGTACAATATAGAATTCTCAGCACAAAGTACTTCAACAAGTTTCCGTTTCTTATTTCTTCGTTAGCAGCCCAGTCAATCGACATCTGGATAATGTACATTGTTCTCGCAGCATAATGCCAGCAACCACAATATCTCTGATTAGGCCTTCTGTGACCATTACAGAGAAAGGTTGTACACTTTTCAGAAACGCACCTGAATAAGTTGTGCGATTAATAGACATAATGATGTATTAAAACAAACGAAATTAGATAACTTGTTGAAATATAGATGACAGGAACAGGCAGTCCAGATGATTAAACAGGCCGCCAATATTCATGTCAAACAACGATTCTTGAATAGAATGAATAATTCTTATAATGTTAACAATTATAAATTGATGTTCAGTTGAAATTATTACGGTATCCATAAATAAAAACAAATTCTAGAAGGATAAATAGTTTATTACAACTAACCCAAAAACGGTAAATCATATCATCATTATGGATAACATTTACCGTTATTATATCTGAATATGAGTATGTTTTGATCCTAATTCAAATGAGAATTAAGCGGACAGATGGGATAATACATGTTAATATATACCCTTATTTGATTCAAATGAATTCTTGTAAACTCTTTGTTTATTTATGGTAAGCAGAGATGGATAGTGGCTAGCAATAGTATTCAGGACGAGCGTTTCGTCCTATTTGATACTCGTCAGCTTGATGTGCCTGCATCTCAGACTTGTTGATGTTCACTCTGGGACTCGAACCCAGTCCCCTTACTTCAAACGCCATCGCGTTATCCACTCGGCCACTGAGTCCTGATAGCCACTTGCTTGTGCAATCGGGTGAAGTTTAAATTCATGTAGTATTGTTTGTTTGAATCTTCCCATGGATTTGTTAGGACTGCAACTGATCAGTTTATTTATCCAACTATTTGGAATGAATGATATAATGTCTATCCCTCTATCAAATCCAAAATAGATTATCACCGATTAACATTCTTATTTAACCAATCAAAATAATTCATTTTATCATTTGAATATATATATATATACATATATATGATGATAAAAGAACAACAATCCAATGTGAATGTCGATTAATTGTGTAGAGACTTTTTTACTCCATGGATGAAATACAATTATCAAATAATTTTAATTATACATCAAAAACTCTTACAACTCAAATTATTAATGAATATGGCAATTCAATTAATTCATCTATTAAAACAAAAAAACATTATTCAGGAAAATATTTTTTAAATTATTTAAAAATAATTTTTAAAAATATTGGTTTAACTTTATTATTAATTTCATATTTATGTATTGGAGGTTATATATTTCGTTCACTTGAATTATATAATGAATCTCATGATTGTTTTGAACGTCAAAATAATTATTTAAAAAAATTAAATTCAACAACATTTAGAGTGATTGGTATAATAAAATCAATTAATTCTGATAATATTAATAATACACAAACATTAGATGAAATTATTTTAAGTCTATTAAATGAATATGCAAATGATTTATTTATATTAGATATGAATCCATCAACAAATTGTACAGCTATATTGAATACACCAGATGGTTCAAAATGGAATTTAATTAATTCAATATTTTTTTGTGTAACTGTAATAACAACAATAGGTAAGTAAATATAATGATGAATATTTCTCTTAAAAAAATTAAAAAAAAAAAGAAACTTAGTAGAATAGGGAGTTTTGTAGAGATTTCAGTATTTTTTTTTCATAGTTGAAAGCATAAGGGAAAACTTGGAAACACTGGACGGCTGTTTCGTCCTATTATGGGACTCTTTAGCAGTGCACATCCACGAACTTGCACTCACAAGCTAGATTCGAACCCAGGATCTACTAGTCTTGAGCTGAAGCCCTTAACCGATAGACCCTCGAGCTGGCGGGCATTCAATGATGTTAATGTCTAACTTTGTTTTGTTTTAAACAATTTTAACATAAAATAATTCTAATTCATTTCAGGACTCATAAGTTCAATGAAAAGTGTTTGAATATCTGAAGTAATGGATATTAGTTTTCAGTTTTTCATAAGGACATCAATATGACGTTTCAGGTGCACCAAAATGATAAGTCGCAAACATTAGAATATGTGTGTGTTTTAGACTCCACTGTAGAGAATTATCTAAAATATAACTGATAGTATTCGAGTTCTATCGTAATGTATATATAATTTTTCAAATCATTGAATCAAAATATTTGTTTTATTGAAAAGAAATCGACTGTTATTTTTACATTTTACCTTTATAAATAATTCGACAAATTGAAAATAACAAGATTTGTGTTTAAGAAAATCGATTTTTTAAGCAGAAAATTTTAAGACCAATGCTCTTAGCTTTTCAATGGTGATCTAACACTGATCGATTCATGATGTTAATTAAAAACTCAACAATCTCCACAACCTTATACTTATGATTACAATGCACTCACTAGTGAATAATTTCGAGAGATAATTCTCGAAGTGCTAATGAGAAGCCGTGATCAGTGAAGTTAATCCGTGTCAGCTGAAGACAGGTTTCTATCTCAGACAATGGAAGAGGGTCTCACAATCTCACTGATTGGTTGTAGTTAGACATTAACAGCATTGGATTCCGGCTCAGTAGTCTAGAGGTCAAACGTTCGTGAGTGATAACGAAGGTCCTGCGTTCGAATCCTGCGCGTGGGGTAGTGAATGCACACTGCTGAGGAGTCCCGTGCTAGGATGAAACAGTCGTTCAGTGCTTCCAGCATTTTAATAGTGGTCTAACATCGATCGACTCATGATCTCAACCGAAAACTCAACAACCTCATACTGTTTATTCTATCGGGTTTTTAAAAGAAATTTTCAGCATTTCATATAGTGTCAATTTGCTCTTAGCTTTTATGATTTTAGTTATTCAAATCCCCTAATATAATATTTTAACTGTTTGTTTACTCTGTTTTGACAGTATGAATTATCATCATGTTTCAAAAAGATCATTGATTCATATTGGGTAAAGAAAATACAGAAAGTAGCCTACTCACATATATATATATATATATAACATATTTTTCAAATGTTTTCATTTTCAATCTGAACATTGTGTGTTTTGCTAAGTGTAGTTGGAAAAAATCCCCCATAAAAATGTGTGGTCTTGTCCCAACTTCTAATATTTGATTGAGAGTTGTCAATCAAAATATATAAGTTATGATTTTCTAATTTAAATGAATCCATTTATTTATTGACTATTTTCTTGATAAATTCATTCAGAATTGTTTGTTTGAATCTTCCCATTGATGTTTTTAGGTATGCAACTGTTCAGTCTCTCATTGGAATATGTGCATACTGTGCGAATTGCCTCGATATTGCCTCAATTGACAAGCATTGTAAGCAAAGATGTGTATTGGCTAGTAGTGGAATGCAGGACACTTGTTTCGACGTATTTGGGACTGGTCAGTTGGATGTAGCTGCATCTCGGAATTGATGTTCACTGTGGGACTGCAACTCAGTACCGTTCGCTTCAAACGCCATCACGTTATCCACTCGACCACTGGGTCCTGATATTTTTAGCAGATGAAATTTTAAATGAAAATTCATTGAGTTTTAATATTCACTCATCAAATCAGTCCAAAATATTTATCCAAGTTATTGCTTCTTCTACTTGCATAAATATTTGGGTTACTAGTTTTTTCAACTTATACAAGTATTACATTCTTTTTCCTATTAGTGATCTGTTTCGACTAACTGATGGAATTTAATAACCTCACTGTTTACGGATGTACCAATATTAAACGCTTACAACTTATTGTGATTCTAAATGCCGTTATATTCAAGTGGAGATATTGTAGTAGAACTCAAGATTTGTGTTTTCTACACATTTTTTACTTGCGTTCAAGTGTTACTAGTCTTACCCGATGGAAATTGAGGCCTAGCAGCTCATTTGATAATATGTTAGTGAATAAAGCAATAGTTACTGGTTTGAGTCTTAGTATGAATGTTGACACTGTGAAATAGGCACATTCAACTGATGAGCCATCAATTTGTGATAAGAAATTACTTTCAAACTCTACCAAATATTCACTTAATCTTTATCATAAATTCATACACATATATACATGTGGGATTCATTGTTTCTAAAACATTTATTTGACCTACCCCCCCCCCTCTATTCTTATGACCTCAATCTAATTTTTAAGAAAAAAGATTAATTTCGTTCCTCTTGACAAACATACAAGTAGCCGTTTAACAGTTAATGAAGAAATTATTGTAAAAATCAATTACATTCTGGGAAGTCAATAAATCTATCAAATTGTCCTGTTTTAAATAAGTCAACCTATTCACCATTAAAAATATTGGATTTTTATTCGAAGTTGAAATCATGAGTCAATTGAAGCTAGACCACCATCGAAAACCTGGAAGCACTGCTTTAAGGCCGTTTCGTCCTATTATGAGACTCCTCAGCAGTGCGCATCCACGATCCCGCCTCACGAGCTAGATTCGAACCCAGGACCTACCAGTCTCAAACCAGAGCCTTTAACCGATAGACCACTGAGCCGGCATTCAATCGTGGATCGTGGATATGCACTGCTGAGGAGTCCCATAATAAGACGAAGCGGCCGTCCAGTGCTTCCAGGTTTTTGGTGGTGGTCTAGCTTCAATTGACTCATGACTTCAACTTTGAAAAATACTGAAATCTCCACAAATCCCCTTCGGATTTTTATTCGATTAATTAAATCATTGTGATGAATGGTTAGAAGTGATTCCATTCTACAGGGATTAATTCTACTGATGTACATACAATGTCAATGTCAAACGTAAACTTATATAATTTTGTTACTACTTAAAGTTATACAAAGTGTACGTTGGGAAGCATTCTAAATCATCAAATTGATTGGATACTGACACATTATAAACAGGGACATTTAAAATAACAGAATCTAAAGTAGGGAGAAATGATAAGTCAAAAGAAAAGTTTCGAAAAAAGAAGTGTAAACCAATGAAATAGTGATAAAACTCATGATGTAAACGAAGATAAATAATAAATACGCCTACTTCACTATAACAGATTTTAAGGAGTATAAATTAAAGTCTTCAACTATTGATTACGATTATCACAAAGAACCCAATCAGGAAAACTGTATCACCTAACACTTCGTAAAACAAATCTTGATTTGTTCATTCTTGACCTGTTTTCAACCTACTCTTGTGTTCAAAATTACTTACTTATGCCTGCTACCGCCAGTGGAGCACAGGCCGCCGAACAGCATTCTCAAACCCACTCTGTCCTGGGCCTTCCTTTCTAGTCCTATCCATGATCCAGTCGATCACCAGGAGAAAGAAAGAGGGTGAGAGTAAGCAAACTTGCCTAACACCGGTCTTTACCTCAAATGAGTCGGTGAGTTGTCCTCCATGAACGGTTTGGCAACTTAATCCATCATGGAACGTCCGTATGATATTAACTATCTTCTCAGGCACCTCGTAGTGTCGAAGAAGCTTCCATAGTGTTGTCCCGTTCACGCTATCAAATGCTTTCTTGTAGTCAATGAGGTTGATGTAGAGTGGTGATTTCCATTCAATTGATTGTTCCACAATGATCCGTAGAGTTAAGATTTGGTCAGTACACGATCGATCCTTACGGAATCCAGCCTGTTGATCCCGAAGTTGGGCGTCTACGGATTCCTTCATTCTATTTAACAACACCTTGTTGAAGACTTTTCCTGATATTGAGAGAAGAGTGATGCCTCTGTAGTTATCACACTCGCTGAGATTGCCTTTCTTTGGTATCTTGATCAGGTGTCCTTCTTTCCAGTCTGTTAGTATTTGTTCTTCATCCCATATCTTACTGAAGAGAATGTGGATTATCTTTGCAGTTACTGCTACATCTGCTTTCAGTGCCTCAACTGGAGTGCTGTCTGGTCCCTCTGCTTTGTCGCTCTTGATTTGTCTGATGACCATGCTGATCTCCTCAATTGTTGGTGGGCCAACATGGATTGGGAGGTCTGTGGGTGCTGCTTCGATGTTGGGTGGGTTCAGTGGAGCTGGTCGATTCAAGAGTTCTTTGAAGTGTTCTACTCACTTGTTCCGTTGTTTTTCAATGTTGGTGATTACTTTACCTGCTTTTCTTTTCACTGGTCTTTCTGGTTTACTGTAATTTCCAGCAAGTTTCTTTGTTGTATCATACAGTTGTCTTATTTTTCCCTCTCTTGCAGCCTTTTCCGCTGTCATTGCTAGATCTTCCACATATTAACGTTTGTTGGTTCTGATGCTCCTCTTCACTTGCTTGTTTGCCTCTGTGTATTTGGCTTGTGCCTTGGCTTTCTCTGCTCTTGTTCGGCTGGTATTGATTGCTGCCTTCTTGTTCCTTCTTTCTTCAATCTTATCCAGTGTACCAACAGAAATCCATTCCTTGTGTGGGTACTTCTTGTGGCTCAGAACCTCTTGACATGTTGAAACGATTGCCTCCTTGATACCTTTATAGTTGTTCTCCATGGTAGCTCCCTCTCTATTGAGTAGATCATGAAAGGCCTGGAACCTATTGCTGTAGGCCATCTTGAATTCGTTGAGTCTGTCAGTATCCCGAAGGAAGACCGTATTAAACTTTTGTGATGTTGTCTACCCCGTTGTCCAGTGCTTCTTGAGTTTTAATTTCATCTTGGCGTCCAGCAAGTGATGATCGGATGTTATATCAGCTCCTCTCTTAGTTCTCACATCTTCCATCGTCCTCCTGAACTTTTTGTTGGTGCAGATATGGTCGATTTGATTCTGTGTAGTGTGATCCTGTGAAATCCATGTGGTTTTGTATATGCTTTTATGTGGGAATATGGTGCCGCCTATGACCAGTTTATTGAATGCACATAGGTTTGCAAATCTCCTACCATTTTCGTTCTTTTCTCCCAGTCCATGTCGTCCCATGATGTTTTCATAACCGGCGTTGTCCATTCCAACCTTGTCATTTAGGTCTCCCATCAGAATGGTCAGGTCCTTTGTTGGGTACTTCTTAACGATTGACTGAAGCATATCATAGAATTGATCTTTAACATCTTCATTGTAGTCATTGGTAGGCACGTAACATTGAATGACATTCATTGTAATGCCCTCTTTATTTGTTTCTAAGGAGACTTTGATGATCCTGAGTCCATGAAATCCCCGTCCTATAATAGCTTTTTGTTCTTGTTTGGATAGCATCAGTACAACTCTTCGTGTATGTGGAGTATTTTCTTATTCATGGCCGAAGTATAACAGCAGCTCTCCTGAAACTAGTCTTTGTTGTCCAACCTGCATCCAATGTGTTTCATTGATTCCAAGCACCTCCAGGTTGTATCTTTTTATTTCTGCAGCAATTTGGAGAACTCTCCCGGTCTCCCACATTGTAAGAACATTTTATGTACTTAAACTAATGGTTGTTTTGATCGTCAGAAGGGGCATCAGCCTCGTGACTTCCGAAGGAACTTGGTTTTCACTATGGTGAGTCATAACTCTTTCAAATGAAGACCTTCTAACTCCAAGGGCAGAGTTCAAATGGTTTGAATATGTTTTTCAGTTAGCGTCTTTTTGCGAGTTAGTTTTCTACGGAATGGGTTTGCTAACCTCATGCTCAACTCTCCTCATTTACAATTGTTTTATCACTGGGTGGTGATCAATGTCATGCATCTATAGTCTTTCTTAGTTCAGATCGAATTCTATCGATCAAGTTGCAATGTGGTCCTAGTCTAGGTGACTCGAAACTGCGTGCACTATGTTGAGATAAGATGGTGGTTGGAGGTGGTCAACAGGAAACCCTGGGCTCGGGTTTCATGCTACTTGGCACTCGTCAGCAAGGTGTCCTTGAATGTCTGGACTAGGAAAAGAAACAATGAAACTAAACTTTGTTTTCGTGAACTTTCAACCAACAAAATATATAAATTACTTTAAAAACCTTTCTCAGTATTAGATTGCATATTGCATATCACCGACAAAATCATTACAGTATCCGTCAACTAACATAAACGATCAAAGAGGTATCATGAATACAGAAGAAATATGCAAAGAACTTTCAAACATATACCGGTTTAACTAGTGCTTAGTCTCATTTTTGTTCAGAAAATCAGATTAAAATTAAGTGATGAATCAAATTTAACTGATTTTGTTTGATCTGGTAGTAGTTTTTCTTCAATTAATCCTCAATAAAAATACCATACATATAAACCTTTTTTTATAAAAATTTAAAAATATACCTGACGAAGAACAAATATGGATGGTGGCTAGCAGTGGAATCCAGTTTGACGCTTGTTTCGTCCTATTTGGTGCTCGTCAGCTGGATGTACCTGGATCTCAGAGTTGATGTTCACTCTGGGACATTTCAAACCTAGTAACTATTAAACATTCAAGTTGTTTGCTTGAGAATTTCTAGTATATTCTAGAATCGTATCATGTTAAGTCGAAAATAAATTAAAACTGGGATTTTTATACAGCATGTAAGGAATTTTCATAAAGAACTAACATCAGTTGCGAAACTTGTTAAGTAATAATGTGATGAATATTTGTTTTATTCAAGTTCTGGACATCTTAGTAATATGAACCAGTAACTTCAAACAGCATAAGACAGGGTACTTCAGATTACGCGGTTAATACAACTCCCCGAGAATACTGAGCTGGAATTCAGTCACGAACTGACCGATATTTAGAGATATGAACCATTGGATTTTGGCCAAGTGATCTAAATGTCCTATTCTGGGTGGGCTGGTTGATGTTTACGATTGAATATTCTGAAACTAGCATGAAGTACTTTCTAGTCCTCTCTAGTTTCCCCAATGGTCCTTCATCGGATGTCAAACCTGAGTTTTGTGTAAGTTAAAACTCATCAGCAAAACGTATCTGCATCTTGAGAGAACTGAATCTCCCCGTGAAATTAAAGTTCACATCAGTCAATTTTGTAGTCAAAGACGTTATTACTGATCCTGTTATTGTTGAAACTTTTTGTTATTGTCTGTCAATCTAACAGGCTTCGGATAATAGTAAATTCATCTTGGACATTCAAATTTGATTACAAAATGATCATAATCCAAAGTATCGATTATGTAAGACCTAATATATGGAAATTTTATACTCACCTTGTATGTTTATAACCTACCTTCTAACCAACGGTATTTAAGAAAATTGGTCATAGTAAGTTGATTTTTTGAACCTTAAACAGGATTGCTTGATTTATTATTTTTTTTCTCTCTCTCACTCTCTTCCTCTCTTAAGGTTATGGACATATTGCACCAGTTACATTTTGGGGCCGAATAACCTGCATTATTTATGCTATTATTGGTATACCACTAATGCTGATCTACTTAGCTATTATTGGTAATTTACTTGCAAGAGGATTTCGTCTGATCTTTTTAAATTTGGTTTGTTGTCGATGTTTTTATGACATAATAAGACGTAAACGTGAACAACGTAGAAAACGTATGCGCCAGTGGGAAGAAAGTCTTCGTGAACATGAAGAAGAGGAGGCTAGACGAAGAGGATTACCATTACCTCCGAAAAAGGTAACAATTTTGATAAAATGAAATATGTCCCTCGAATGACTTTATGATGTCTTGAATAATGTGATTTTGAGATGGTCAGTAAAATTATTAACTCAATAGGATAATTTTTGGTGATATTTGTTGTTGACGTTGTTGTTTAGGGTGACAATAGAATTATAATAATCAAGGATAACACTATCAACGGGAGTGGTTCTTTATCGTTTATTTACTGCACATTTACTCATTCGGAATTGTGATTATCACTTAGTTATATAGGAAATAATAAATCGACTCCGATTTGTAGCCTACGGTTTGAAAGGAATATGAAGTTATTGGTAAAAGTCACTTAATTTTCTGCCTGATCTGCAGCCGATATTCAGTTCTTTTAAAATCTGAAGTCCTACGTTTTATTTTCATAATAACGTTTATATTCATATGATCCCAACCTACAGGTTCCCAGCAAAGTAATCAAAACCAATAGATATGAACAACTCATAGTCAGCCAGTCAGTCAGCTACAACGTAGGACCAGGGGCATATATGCATAGGTTCAAGTTGCCATACCTCATTAGCACAACAAGATGAACACCAAATTCATAGAAGTAGTGGTGGTAATATATAAAAAAAAGGTTGTATATGAGGATATAGTACAGGAGGAAAGACAGATATGAAGCAATTTTAATCTCACAGTTTAAGGGAAGATAAAGAGTGTATACACCTACGCCATTGTTGTTGTTGAGCCAATCACAGACGACTGTGGTAGGGGGTTGTACAAAACCATATGACAGTCATATGAATACTTCTCATAAATCAACATTATTCTCATCCGAAAATCTGTTCAAAGTAAACAAGATTGCAACTACCTGATAGAACAAAATAATTCTTTTTGGTCAAAGTCGGCCAACTTACTGTACACCAGTATGTGCCTAGTAGCTAGTGTCACACTATTGAATTTCCCATAATGAAACATTCAACTTTAGGCGTTTTAGCTGTGAACTGACAGTGATTCGCCGCGTTTTTTTATAAGTAAAATTCACTGCTGTTTTATGTCAAAAACCCTCAAGAGTAATTTTTTGCTATTTTGTATAATTAACTAAAGTTAGTTAGTAAATAACTACTGTAGTATTTTTTGTGTGGCTTAAACATCTTAAGAATTTATAAAATTCTACAATCTCAAATCCCCTTTATCAAAATAACTTATTGATTGGTAGATTATCATTGCTGTTATATGATATTATGTATGTTAACATGTGAATAGATTGTTGGTTTCCGTATTCGTCAGTAACTGAATGCCAACTTAATAGGTCTCAAGGTTAAGTGTTTGGTACGAGACCTGGCGATCTGGATTTCGATTCATGATGTGGTCTTCAGTATACACACTATAGGTATTCCATACATGGATAAAATATTTGTCGAATGCTTCCTAGTTTCAATGGTTGTTCAATTAACGTTACTCCTAAGCTTAAATTACATGTTCAGTTGTAGTTTTATGACTCAGTTCTATGTGTGTACTTTTATTTTTTGAATACCGACGGGATGCATCTGATATTTTGTGATGTGTTTAATTTTAGAGGAAGTGAATAGATACTTCAAAGTCCTTTCTTTTTTTGTTGTATGCCTATGAATACGATAAAGTTAAAAGAGAATAGACTAAGTAACTTGTTTTACCACAAGAACTTAGAGATGCCACATTAGAGACTAGATGAAGTTAATACCTTATTCAACACTGAATAATCAATATCAATAAACAAAAGTATCACCATAAGGAAAAGATAAATAACAGAATAAAGTGAAGAGCGTTTAAGATCTACAAAAAGGAGAAATGATCAAAAAAAAACAGAAAAAGGAGAAGGTTTGCTCCAATAAGGTAAACGAGTTAATATAATTTCTGTTTATGTTGGCATAAAGAGTTTACTTCGTAAATTGTTGGAATTTGATATAGCCTTACTTTATCGTTACTCTTTCTGTTAAATAACTCTAAAAGCAGATTGATGGCATTACTTTATGGGATGGTAGATCACTCATAAAAAGATCTTAAACAGAATAAGCCCAGCCTAGTTGAAGGTTTGATACATTTCTAACATATTCTGATAGTTTTACGTGATCAGAGGCTGTGATTTTTAAAAATGTGTTTGGTTTTGTAGTTAATAAAAGTATGTTTCATTTGGGAAATAATAAGAATTTGATTGTACACAAATGCCAGCATACTGACATTAATATAACAGAACGTATTTTATTACCAACTACGTACATATGTACCAGTCTCACAATCTGATTAAGAAACTTGGGAACATACAATTTGATCAATATAAATACAAATTGACTAATGTGTGTCTATTGGACTACCGTATATCCGTAATAAACAAGTATTTTTGAATGAAAACTCACTATTTACAAAGTGAGATGCTATAAAGTTAGAATTTACGATTTTTATTTGCTAAATATTCCAAGGTGTGGTTTGGTATATTATATTAAACTATGATAGGGAAGCCTGGAATAATTACCTCTAGTTTTAGTCATAAAAAATAAAGGACAGAATTCTTAAGTTAGTATCAAGAACACAGTATAAGTTACTGCCTAGATTTTCTTCCCATGGAACTTTATCTATCCCTTAAGCTGATAGTTTATAAGAAGCCCTAAAGTTGTTTTCAAGCAATAATGTGGTTTTATTCGGAAATTGCTAACATCACTATAATTGGTTCTTTATTATGATGCGAGATACAGATATAGCCTACGAGCATCTCATTACATATAAGATTCCAATTCGTATTTTAAATAATAGTAGCTTGCCATTAATTTGAGATTATGAGTTTAAATTCTGAAAGGAAAACCGCTGATGAATTTTTTTTTAATATAAACTTATAATCTGACTGCATCTTTAAAATTCTCCCTGACTTGAAATGTTTGCTTGCAAGGGGTTGTATTATCCTATGCTCGATATTCAGTACTACATCTTATCATTCGCCGTTGACAACTGTAAATTCTCAATGGATCCTTCGATACTCCGTCAAGTTAAAAGTCTCAGTACAGTTTTGAGTTGCTTCTAGTAGTGAAGTTCAGGATACATGTTTCGTCCTCTATGCGCCTGTCAGCTAAATACATCTTTATTCCAATATTGATTTTCATATTTGATTTCGGACCAAATATTTACCATTTCAAACACTAATAGGCTGTTCATCAACATTGTCCTTCGTCTCACTGTTAGCCAAAATGTTCAAAAATGTACGAAAACTTGTGATGTTTAAGTTGGCATTTAAAATTATTGACTTAACATTAAACTTACACAGTGTTTTTGTACACTAAATCAATTTTCTTCCTTATAAAATTTACTATCCTTATCCTGGTTGTTTCCTTATTTATCCTTATTTTATCTTAAGTGGTTTACATTTTGATTCGATTTTAAAATAAAAATTAAAAAAAAGAATATTTGCAAACCGAGTTACGGATTAAAATAATGAAGAATATGAAGTTGTATTTTGTTACTGTGTGTAATCTTGTTTTCACAATTGATTGACCACTGGATGATGATCAATGTCATGCGTGTCAAGTCCTTCTTAGTGCTGATCGAATGCTATCGAACAAGTTGCAATGTGATCACTAGTCTAGGTGGCTTGACACTGCGTGCACTATGTTGAGATAAGATGGTGGTTGGAGGTGATCAACAGGAAACCCTGGACCCGGGTTTCGTGCTACTTGGCACTCGTTAGCAAGGTGTACCTGTAAAATGTGACGAGTCATTAAGCAGATGGCTAGTTGCATCTCTACTTATCATTTAATTGATATAGTCAATAAATACCCACATGAAATCCCAGCTTATGTTACCTAATTATTTCAGTGTATGAAGGTAATAATTCAAACTTGATGAAAATAAAGGAACAGATAATTTTAAACTTCTGACCATTTAATCCACAATGAGTAAATGCATAGAGTTAATGGAATTTTTTTCTTAAAAGCAAGGATACTGGAGTTTTGATGTGATTATAATCAATGAATTTAAACCATTAACTTTATCTGTTAACGACTGACACATAGTAATAAACTGTGGCAGTATCAATCCCAATGCTAAATACTATTTTATATTCCAAAGACTATTATACTCCACAATCACTGGTTGTTAATTTATATTGTTATTTACTTCTTAATGTTGATCAAATCGTGTCGATCAGATTGTCATATAGTTAATGCTCAATTATTGATGTAAATGACTGAAAGCAATTTACAGGAATTCCTAACTGATCTACGTTGTATTTTATTTGGTATTCGTTAAGAATATATTTGCTACAATGTTGAAAAAAACCAATGTTCCACTTGAGATTTACCTTTATTCCAACCTCTGTCACAGTCAAAAACTGTACAACTAAGTTATTTGGGTCGTACCTGAGGTTCTGTAAGACTTTTATATTTAAACTGACTATTTGTACGCTTTTTAGCTATTATTGTCATACAGCCTAGTATGAATTTGATCTGTGATAAAATATCTCATTATTAGTTAATTTTTCATAGTTGAAATCATGAGTCAATTGAAGCTAGACCACCATGGAAAACTTGGAAGCAATGGACGACCGTCTCGTCCTATTATGGGACTCCTCAGCAGTACGCATCTACGATCCCGCACTCGCGAGATTCGAATCCAGGACCTACCAGTCTCGCACCAAAGCACTTAACCAATAGACCGATAGTTAATTATTTAATAATCTTTCAAGATATAAGAGTTCTTATCAAGATCCGTATTATAATTTAATGTCATTCTGTAATCAAACTATCTTTATGAAGAATTTAAACCATTAGATCACTTTGTAATCCTTTTTTAAGGCATTTAGTTAATTAGACTTAATGAATATTCATAATTAAAATTGAAAATTCACTACAATTATATGGAAATTGTAAGCAAAGATGGATAGTAGCTAGCAGAGGAATTCAGTTTGACGCGCGTTTCGTCCCATTTGGGACTCGTCAGTTGAATGTACCTGCACCTCAGAGTTGATGTTCACTATGGGACTTGAACCGAGTACCTTTCGCTTC